TAACACAAGCTCTGCTTAGCTTGAGACTAGATGGCGCTGTGTGAATTGTCCTGAGATATTATTATTATTATACAAAAATTCTCATCTCTCCTCTTAAGGAGAGGAGATGACAACATATCCCCGGCAGAAGCACAGTCGGCCGGGGTTCAGGGCCCCAGGGAGAGAAACCGGCGTACAATGCGGGCAGAATCTAAGAGCACCGCTTTCTGCATTTTTCCCGAGAGTGAGCCGCCTCGGAATCACAACCGTCTGAGATGTTGTTCCAGACTGGTTGGGATAAGACCATTCACCGACATAACGATTGGAATGATTTCGGTGGACATCACCCCCCACATTTCGGTCACCTCGTGAGCCAGGTCGAGATATTTTCTCTTTTTCTCGGTTTCGGCTTTCACGAGGTTCTCGTCATACGGTATGGTGACGTCCACGTGATTATTATTATATAGATTTGCACACGTCTAAAGTGGAACGCAATGAACAATAAGTAGCTTTGACGTAGTCTAGTGTTTTGAGTAGTCATGCTCACTAAAATGTCCAGACTTGTGGCGGCGTGGTGGGCCGGGTCATTGGGCTCCCTAAGATATGGTCGAGCGCAGTGATGGCTGGCTCATCCGTCACACTCGTGGATGGGTGCTGCTTGCAGGGACTGGTCTGCTCTTATTAATTGTTTAACCAGTTGGTTATATATTCAATATTTTTTCTATTTGAGTATTTAATTGAATTAGTGCTAATTGGTGGTTTGTATTCACACACTTAAACTTAAAAATGTAAAGTAATAATAAAAGTATTTAAAAGAGCAACACGCAAGTTTCTTGCTCGTTCATCTTGTGAGGAGACAGCTTTCCGAATGAGCGGTAGATTAAAAAATGTAATGACTATTCAAAAGTGCTTCAATGTAAGTTTATTTGAATAAATGATTTTCTATTCTATTCTATTTTAATACAATCACGCTGTATATCAAACAACGTGGTGGATTGTTATTTTAGTGGACGAGTCCGTTGCTCTTTGCTGTCGCTGAAAATGAAAATAAAAGTTACATGTATATCGCGTGCCGTAACGGTCGGCTGGCTCACACCTGCCCAAATGAAGTATTTTATTTTTTTATGGACCTCGCCGCTCGTTTTTTACTATATTTTCGCATCATACCCGTACTGTCTACTACATGGCTGGATATATATTAAATTTTCAGACAACACTGAAGTTTGAAATGTCTGTAATAATTTTTATTTATTTATTTACTAGCTACTCGCCACGGCTTTGCACGGGTGTATATGTGTTATACATATAAACCATCCTCTTGAATCACTCTATCTGTTAAAAAAAACCGCTTCAATATCCGTTGCGTAGTTTTAAAGATTTAAGCAAACGTAGGGACGGACAGACGGCGACAGTGACTTTGTTTTATATTATGTAACTAGCTACCCACCCCGGCTTCGCACGGGTGTACATGTATTATATATATAAACATTCCTCTTGGATCACTCTTATCTATTAAAGAAATCGCTTCAAAATCCGTTGCGTAGTTTTAAAGATTTAAGCAAACATAGGGACGGACAGACGACGACAGCGACTTTGTTTTGCTATGTAATTATATACCAGGACGATTCACATACCGCCATCCAGTCCCAAGCTAAGCAGAGCTTGTATTATGGGTACTAGACAACTGATACAAATACTTAAATATATTTGTTCTGTAAATACATTCATAATATTCATAGAAAACAGACCGATATAAACAATCACACTCATGAATTCACCGTTCGAGGAATCGAACCCGCGACCATCGGATTTTACGTTTCGCAATTTACGGGCCATGTCGGTCACTCTGTTTCTTCTGCGGATCTCCTCATTTCTGATTCGATCACGCATTGAAACTCCGAGCATAGCCCTCTCCATTGCCCTCTGAGTGACTCTGAACTTATTCATAGTTATAACCATCAGGTTAATACCTAGTTATTTAATCACGATGGCCAAATTGACCTGACTTATCATCACCTTATCATCGTCCACTGGTGCCCCGCCAGCGCATACCGTCAGCGTAGGCGGGTGAATAATTGCATTATCATCAAATTCAAATTCAAAAATTCAAAATATTTTTATTCATGTAGGTCTATTACAGACTCTTATGATATGTCAAATCTACCGTCAGTTCGGAATGATTTCGAGATGAGAAGAACTGACAAGAAACTCAGGTCGTATTTTTTTTTAATGTTGTACATATTTACTATAATACTATTTCATTTAAATTCAAAATTGGGAAAATAGAGTGACCACCAGCATATGCTATATAAAAAAAAAAGTAATAAAATCTAATTAGTGTTCGCAACCTAAACAGATCAGTCCCCACAAGCAGCACCCGATCACGAGTATGACGGATGAACCAGCCATCATTGCACTCAACCATATTAGAGGGAGCACATCGACCCGGCCCACCACGCCGCCACAAGTTTGAACTTTATAGCGAGCATGACTGTTTCAAGTTACTCCACTACGTCATTTATATTATTTACAGCATAAACTGTACCAATCACAGTTTTCACCCATTACAATATTTAATTTACAATATGTCATTACTAAATTTAGAATAAGTTTCTTTAGTGTTTATTACATTATCTATGTCAATGGGAAAGTTATATACCTCCTAATAAAAGTTAAAATTGTAATTAAGTCCACGCATTGTAGTCATTCAAGTAGTCGTTTATTTTATAATAAGCTTTAGCGCAAAGTGTATTTTTTACATGTATCTTAAATTTCCCTTCACTTAAATTCAAAACATTATCAGGCAATTTATTATAAAAACGTATTCAATGTCCCATGAAAGATGTACTTATTTTTTTGAGACGAAAACTAGGCATATTCAATTTATTTTTATTCCTTGAAATCACTTAAAAAAATTACCCTGCCATAATATATGATATCAGTGCCATAATCAGTATACACAAAATGCATTACAACGGCCAGAGGTAAATATTTTACACATAAACAACTCGGCTAATTGTTTAAAAGCATCCACCAACCTTGATTAATTGCTTAAAAGCGTGCATTTAACGTGAAAACAGAGCATAATTTTGGTTTTTTTATCAATAGCTCGGTTGCTTACTTTATGTGATAGAATTACAATAGATGGAAAACAAACAGAGGTGGAGTCTTTGTATATATGTACATATATAGTAGCTATTAAAAATAGGGGTTGGTTATGGAAAGGTGAAAATTTAGGGATGTGTGTATATCTAATGGATCTTTTTGTCCAAAAAAATGTTAAGGGTGGACAACCCTGATCACTTAGTGGTATGAAAAATAGATAGTAACCAATCCTCAGATGTACTGGATATGCATATAAAATTTCATATAAATCGGTCAAGCCGTTTCGGAGGAGTATGGTAACTAGCATTGTGACGCGAGAATTTTATTTGTAAGACTACTAGCCCCGGCTTCGCACGGATGTTCATGTATTATATATATAAACCATCCTCTTGAATCAGTCTATCTATTAAGAAAAACCGCATCAAAATCCGTTGCGTAGTTTTAAAGATTAAGTATATATATATATATATATATATATACAGCAACAGACAGCGACAGCGACTTTGTTTTACACTATGTAATGATGTTGTAACATGTTTATTTTTAACTAAAAACTTTGTATATTTTACTTTTCTTACAATCATCAATGTAATTATTTAATCCCATTGCTTTCACCTAAAATATGGTCGAGCGCAGTAATGACTGGATCATCCGTCATACTCGTGAACGGGTGCTGCTTGTAGGGACTGGTCTGCTCTAATCACTATGACTGATTTCCTCTTATTAATTATTTAACTAGTTGGTTATGTATACAATATTTTTTCTATTCGAGTATTTACTTGAATTTGTGCTAATTGGTAGTTTGTATTCACACACTTAAATTTAAAAATGTAAAGTAACTAAATTATTTAAAAGAGCAACACGCATGTTTCTTTCTCGTTCTTCTTGTGATGAGACAGCTTTTTGAGCGGTAGATTAAAAAAAATGTGATGACTATTCACAAGTGCTTCAATGTAAGTTTATTTGTATAAATGATTTTCTATTCTATTCTATTCCAAAATATCCGGCTGCTCAACTATTACAAAAACTCTACCCTAAGCGACTAAAAAGAAACGACTTTATGTAATATTCGCAGTATTCTTAAGGACCAGATCCTCCCACTGGGGTGAACATTCCATTCTTAGTTACCACACCTAAGAGATCTGCTTATAGTTACCGGACTGATGATAGGAAAGGGAAAAAATCCCATTGCTAAACATAAAATTCTCTATAATCTTTATTTAATTTCTAGTAGTTAATAAGCATAAAAAAATACTTTTAATTGAAGAGTTCTAAATAACTTATAGTTTACTATGATATTACTTTTTTAATTGAAAAAGCTGTGTGAATTAAGTAACTTTTTAAAATAGATATAGTATCAACACATGTGCTACATCTGATATATAAAATTCTCGTTTCGTGTTTATTAAGGAGCCTATACGAAACGCCTTGACCCCATTGCTAGCAATGTACCAGGCAGGGATGACCTCCACGAGATTCCACCTGAAAACCATCATAAATTTGTTCACGATTGGCTAACTGATCTGTCCTCATGCCAACCGCAAACAGCATATCTCTCAATAACGACAATATAATAATAAAAAGTACCGTAAGTTGCCGAAATTAGTGAAAACTGTGCACGTTTTTTTTCGCTTTATTATCCTATCCTGTAATTATGCACTGAAAACAATATCACTTTTAATATATAAAATACTTATAAAAATACCTAAGGAAAAAATCGCTGTACAGAAAAAAATTGTATTGACCCTTGATTTGTAAAACATTGAAGAACGCCGGTCTAAACTATATACACTTATCATTATCCTACACGCTTTACGACGTACACATTTGTATCAAAACTATAAAGATTTTACGGTAAAAATGAAACCGAAATGTTTATTGGAGAAGTGTTTGGATATATCGGATGTCATCTGCAGATCCCAGCAGCTCCTCGACGCAAGCGACCACAAGAGCTTGCAGCGACGACTCCTGCAGTCAACACAGTCAGCATTCATGTGACCACTCCCAGAATGGTGGGTACCCGACGACCCTGGATGATGTGATGTTCAACTAATGTTTTGCCGGAATGCTTTCAAATGATTTTTATATGTTGATGATACAGTACATCCCATTAATTTTTTTTTATGATAATTGTATCATAAGTACTAGGTATTATTGAATTAAAGACGATTTCTGCTTCAACGTTAAATACAAACAACTTATATAATAATATTTATACATTTAGCCACAATTTAGCAGGTATATTTATAAAGATATATAATTGTATGGGTTTCTTAACCCATACCCTCAACCTTATATTTACAACAAGTGGATTGAAATAAAACATACATATACAATAATTACGACAATATCTTTATATATATATATATACCTGCTGTATATTTATAAAGGTATATAATCTGCTTTATAAGCTATAGGCAAGTGTTAGTTATATATATTATCTGTATCCTGAAGAGATAACAACCATAGTTCCAAAGAATATCCATTTAATATTCAGATATTACGATTTGATTTTATTAATAGATGTTTCAATGTATTCTACAGATTTCTGTTAAAAAAAATAGGTGTTCTGGGATGTACTGAAGTGATTATAGCATGTTGATTAACTATAGTTGATGTGTGTTACTAATATATATAACGATTTAGTATAAATTTACTGTTTATAACAATAACAGAATTACTGAACATGCGAACAGTTAAGATCTCTTCATATTGTACTAGCAGTAACAGCTCCGCTCCTATTGGTCGTAGCGTGATGTTCTATAGCCCGTAGTCTTCCTCGATTAATGGGCTATCCAACACTAAAAGAATTTTCAAAATCAGATCACTAGTACAGGAGATACCGCCGAACATGTAAAGTCACAAACTTTATCTCTATATAAAAAAATATAATTAAAATTATAACAAAAAACATAAGCTATACAACGTTAAAATCATTATCGACACCCTATTTCCTCTGTTGACTATTCGACTACAAAATCTGATCAATAGTACCGGAGATTACGCTGAACATTCAAACTCAGAAACTTTACCTCTCTATAAAAATATATTAATTATATGTACAATTTATTACTTATGATTAGTCACATCTACGGTCAGGTCCTAATGTTTTCTTAGGTAAGAACAACTGACAAGTATCAGTCACTTTTTTAAAATGTAATTCAAATTCATCATTATAACAATACATATTAAAACTTAAATTTAATCTGAATACAGTAACTAACAGCATATAGTAATAACACTTCATTACGCATAGAAGAATAATACAGAGAACAGAACTAGAACAATGGAAGAGGATGTACTGTGCTGACCCCAAATAATGGGATAAAGTCAAGACAGTGATTTTTGCCAAGCAGAAGAGGAAACTCCACTACACATCCTATGTGGTTGTAGCCCACTCATGCATAAACGAAATATCTCCTTTTGAAAGTATACACTATTTCCTGAGGAGATAAAAACTATCGCTCCTAAGAATATCTTTCAATTCTTATCCCTGACGGGTCTGGGTAGCGGACTTTAATAAGGGCGAGTCACAGTAGATCTATACAGGTCGCAGGGCTACAGGTCTTAGCACCTGACAATAGCCCAAAACCCTCAATAAAAAAAGATGATTAAAAGCAATCATTATTTGATTTATGCATTATATGTACAGAGATATTTATAAAAGTATATGGACATTTTGTCACTTTCTTTCACATCATGAAAGTAGTCAGAAAGAAGAAGACAAAACATATTCAATAGCTACAATTTTATTATACAAATACTCAGTTTCGGGTTTCTTAACCCATACGCTCAACCTTATATTGACAACAAGTGGATTGAAATAAAACATACATATACAATAATTACGACAATTTGTCTGTACATCACTAATTCTCTACAATAAACTATTGAAACGAATACATGACTTTGATTTCAAAATACCTTTTTTACTTGAAACCTTTGCATGCAATATAATACGAAATTTGTCAACAAATTGAGCTGAAATGAACAGATGTAGCACTAATTATTAAGATAATAATTAAATTAATGTATATTTATATTAATAATTAATTTAGTATTTAATTAACAATTAATTATTATTTAGATAATTATGTAATTTGAATTAATTTTCAATAATCGTTATTATTTATTTATTTATTTTCGGAAAAACAAGGCTATTTAAAAACATAGTTAAATGAGAACGGCCACTTATAGGTTTTCACGGATAGAAACGTAATATAAAATAAATTACAGTACTAACACGAGAGGCGTGATTCTGTCATAAATACTCATAAAATCATATATCAAAAAATGACAATCTATTGCACCAATAGAATTTAATACATAAGAATTATACAAAAAAGAGATATGGAAGTACAAAAGGCGGTCTCATCGCAAGAAGCAATCTCCCCTCTGATCGATCCCCCGTACAATTCAAACGGGGACCGATGTTACGGCCTGAGCCGAGGTTCGAACCCCTAGCGGTGCCCTCAGATAAAGTCGTATCCGTCAGGCGGGAGCTGGGCTTCTGCCGCTCTATAAGTCCTTCCTTTGGTTTGGAGTGCCATCTGCACTCGCCCCCTATCGTCCGGTGAAGCTGTAAAGGCCAGCTGCGGCCAACAACAGCATTATGTAGAGTAATCCGAAAATTTCTATTGCAACTTTGTTACATAAATGACTGGCTACTAGCCCCTACTTCGCCCTGGTGTACATGTATTATACATATAGATCTTCCTCTTGACTCACTCTATCTATTAAAAAAACCGCTTCAAAATCCGTTGCGTAGTTTTAAAGATTTAAGCATACATAGGAACGGACAGACAGCGACAGCGACTTTGTTTTATACTATGTAATGATATGAGACAGACACAGCGTGGGAAGGCCTCCAGCAAGGTGGACCGACGATCTGGTCAAGATCGCTGGAAGGCATTGGATGCGAGCAGCGCAAGACCGATCGTCGTGGAGATCTTTGGGGGAGGCCTATGTCCAGCAGTGGACGTCTTCCGGGCTGCGATGATGATGATGGTGCTTCTTCTAGAAAGTCCTATCAATGAATATCATATCATAAAAAATAATTATTCAAAAGTGCTTACGTACTTCGACAAAGATTACTTGCTCTATTCTTTATCTGTGAACTCGACTCAATTTGATTTCCAGTCGACTGAACGTCGTTATGGGATTAAGCACTTGAATGATGCACGTTTTTTTTTATACCTGACAAGTATTTATAGGTAAAACTAACTTAGAAATGAATCTGTGAAAGTCGATAGAGTTTCCTTTAAAAACTAATAGAATTATTATTTTTTCTTTGTTTATTATTCTGTTTAAATTATTATATTGACAATTAGCAACACGCGACTTCGTCCGCGTGGAATTGTACTTTATTTTCCAAAATGAAAGAAATTTTCTAAAATAAAAGTAGCCTGAGTTAGTTCAGTAGTATACTAGCTGTTCCCGCGACTTTATCCGCGTGTAATTTATCTTTATTTTTTTAAATAAAAGTAGCCTAAGTTACTCCTTATTACATCAGCTACCTGCCAATAAAAGTCCCGTCAAAATCGGTCCAGCCATTTCAGAGATTACCCGGAACAAACAGACAAATTGTAAAAAATGTAATTTTGGTGTATGTATCGTATTTATATTCATATGCATGTAGTAAAAAACGGTTTTATCAATATTACAAACAGACACTCCAATTTTATTTATTTGTATAGATAATTTCGTATTTTGTACCCTCGTTAATTTAACAACCGTGTTAAGATGTAAATTAGTGGATAATCATGTATAATTTAGTTTAATTAATTGCACTAATATATTATAATTACTCTAGAGTAATTAATTATTATTAAACATTACATACATATAACTTAATGATATGTTAAATAATGGAAAGTTAAGAGTTAATTATAATAATTATTCTATTTTTGGAAATTGTTTTGAAGTACTTTGTTAGGGAAAGTACTATGTATATATATAGGGAAAAATATGTGGAAGCGTCTGTCTCGTACCTGTATGGTTCTGCGGATTTCTTGGGCTTCAGGGTCTCGAAGGTATCTTCGCTAGCTTTCCAGTTTCACAGTAGGTTTAACACAGTTCTAATTTATTTTAATTCACAACACAATGCGCGCGCGCGTCAAGGTCGCTGTATGGTCAGTTCAGTACTGTAGGTAAGGGAGGGGAACAGAAACTAACGACTCTAATATAATAATCTGTGCTTACGATGGTACAGGGTAGATTTTTAACAACTTATTTCCCTATAATCGTACAAAAATCTTATTTTAACTGGGGTTGAATTTGCAACGAGTTGAGACTTTTTTGTTATTAAAATATTGTTTCTTTGGAGTAACTACTTTTCTAATAATATTAGTATTTATATATATTCTATAATATAATAATTTTGCTTCGGATATTTCATTTTTGTTAACTTACTAGATACCCATCTAGGCTTCGTACGAGTGTACATGTATTATATACGATTCGCGAGTCCGCGTGGAAATTAACTATAAAAGTGGCCTAAGTTACTCCTTATTACATCAGCTCCCTGCCAAAAAGTCCCGTCAAAATAGGTCCAGCCATTTCAGAGATTAGCCGGAACAAACAGACAGACAGACGAAAATAGTAAAAAAAATTCTTTTGGTGTATGTACCGTATTTATATTCAAATGCATGTAGTAAAAAACGGTTATTTCAATATTACAAACTCCAATTTTATTTATATGTATAGATAAAAATTCCTCAAGAATCACTCTATCTGTTAAAAAAATCCACTTCAGAATCCGTTGCGTAGTTTCAAAGATTTAAGCATACATAGGGACGGAAAGACAGCGACAGTGACTTTGTTTTATACTATGTAATGACTAGTAGACCCGGCCACTCGTTGCTGTGGCTAAGGTTCTGGAATAAAATAATATTGCGACTATAAATTGAGATGTAAGCTATCCTATCTTTCAAGTTGGATCAAATTGCACACAATGTGCAAATCAAATTTGCAATCGGTTTAGTGGTTTAGGACTTCATTGCGGACAGACAACATTACACGTAATTTCTATATATAATGATTAACTTATGTACGTCGTCCCATTGGGACTAATTGGCATTAATTATTTAAGCATTTGATAGACTTTTGTAACTGTAATTTTTTTTTTTATACTACGATGGTGGCGAACAAGCATACGGCCCATCTGATGGGAAACGGTTACCGTAGCCTATAGACGCCTGAGACACCAAGTGTCACGTGCGCATTGCCGACCCTTAAGAAACCTTAATATACCCTTCTTGAAAAACCCCATGCTGTAGTCTCGTAAGAAAACCTCGGCAGGTAGTTCAATCCATAATGTAAGTGTACGCGGGAGGAATCTCCTCTAAAGCTGTCTTGAGACCACTCAGGTTATATGTATGCCTGTATTTACAGATATGGAGTACGGCAGCGGCGGGCCTCCGCCCCCGGGGATGATGAAGGACAGACATGGACCGCCTCCGCCTCACCACCAGGTAATAAAATAAACTAGGTCTCTTTCTCTCTTGTCATTTGTACAATAAACTAGCACTATTTCTCTGTAGTAATTTACACAATAAACTAGCTCACTAGCTCTCTTTGTCACTAGTTATTTATACAATAAACTAGCTCACTAGCTCTCTTTGTCACTAGTTATTTATACAATAAACTAGCTCACTAGCTCTCTTGTCATTTGTACAATAAACTAGCACTACTTTTCTGTAGTAATTTACACAATAAACTAGCTCACTAGCTCTCTTTGTCACTAGTTATTTATACAATAAACTAGCTCACTAGCTCTCTTTGTCACTAGTTATTTATACAGTAAACTAGCTCACTAGCTCTCTTGTCATTTGTACAATAAACTAGCACTACTTCTCTGTAGTAATTTACACAATAAACTAGCTCACTAGCTCTCTTTGTCACTAGTTATTTATACAATAAACTAGCTCTCTTTGTCACTAGTTATTTACACAATAATCTACCTCTCGTTTTCTCCAGTCATTTATACAATAAACTAACCTGCGGTGATACCCGTCTGTAATACGATCCACATTAGATTAAATCACCAGTCATGGAAATATCGGTGACAAACTTAAATTAATCTTTCTAATTTAGATTTGTTAACGGTGTTTCCATCACCGGGAAGTAAGTCAGAACAGTAAATTAGGGGCATGCTCACCTCCTGCCAGCTTGGATTCAAATATAGGTATATTCCTATCCACGTGATACTATATTTTTTTAATATACAATGTTGGTGTCTGTTATTTTTTATCATATGGTCATTTGGTGTATTTCAGCGTGACGGTCGCGGTTACGGACCTGAAGGGTACGGCGGCGAAGGCTTCGTGCCGCCACCACCCATGCACCACCCGCCCATGCCGCCACAAAACCAGGTAATTCACATCTCACTCAATTAAATTCTCTCATTAAATCTCACTTAGTGCTAGTTAGTAGTTTGTATTCACACACTTCAACTTAAAAATATAAAGTTTCGGGAGCCAATCCAATCGATCCGCTGTCCAATTCAAACGGGGATCGAAATTACGACGGCTTGAGCTGAGGTTCGACCGCCTAGCGGTGCCCGTAAAGTCGTATCCGTCAAACAGAAGCTGGCCTTCAGCCGCTCCATAAGTCCTTCCTTTGGTTTGGAGTGCCATCTGCACTCGCCCTCTATCGTCCGGTAAAGCCATAAAGCCCAGCTGCGGCCAACAGCATGAGAGTAGTCGGAAAAAAGAAATAACTAAATTATTTAAAAAAACAACACGCAAGATTCTTACTCTTTCTTCTTGTGATGAAACAGCTTTCTGAATAAGCGGTAGAAGGAAAAAATGTGATGACTATTCAAAAGTGCTTCAATATAAGTTTATTTGAATAAATAATTTTCTATTATATTATATTCACATATCTAATGCACGATCTTAGAAATCTGACGCACCTATGGATGGTCGTGGAATCGCAAATAAAGGTATTTCCCAAGATTGAACTACCCGTTAGTTTAAATCTAACTAACTTGACCTCATGCTCATTTTATCATCCTCCACTGCCCCGCCAGCGCATTACTCGTATACCGACAGAAGTGTAGATCTTAAATTATGAATGGAAATTAATGAAAACCTTGTTTATTTTCCAGGGTGGTCCACCACAGCAAGGCGCAGTGATGATGGTGTATGGATTGGACCCGCAGACTGCCAACGCCGACCGCCTGTTCAACCTGTGCTGCCTCTACGGGAACGTTGTCAGAGTGAGTGCCATCATTCAAGAGGTCTTTGGGGTGTAGGGATTGTTAGCAACCAGGATAGAAACCCCATTGCTAACAATGGACCATGTCAGGTCGTAACGCGCGAAACCATCCCCACTGAAAACCATCGTGGTAAATTTCTGGTAAATTGGCCATGGTGAGGAAAAACGTTGTCAGAGGTCATTGGAGGTGTGGGGATTGTTAGTAATGAGGATAGAAACCTCATTGCTAGAATATACCATGTCAGGTCGTAACGACGGAACCATCCCCTCTGTAAACCATCGTGGTCAGTACAGTAAATTCGCCACGATGGGCAGACTGACCTAACTTCTCGCTCGTTCTATCATCCTTCCCTGGTGCCCCCATGTATACCGTTAGCGCAGGCAATTGCACTATTCCATTATCATCTCTGAAAAAATAGATACTTGAATGACGGAGAACATAAAATTCGGATAATGAAGAAGTCATACAGCGATTATTGCCAGCTGCTAAATTTCACTTATCGTTACGCAATGGAAAGCGTTGGTTGCGAGCAGCGCAGGACCGATCGCCGTGAAGATTTTTGGGGGAGGCCTTTGTTCAGCAGTAGACGTCTTCCGGGCTGAAATGATGATGATGATGATGAAGATATAATACAATATATTGTTATTAATATTATATAATATGGTGTTTTTCGTTTGCAGATAAAATTCCTGAAGACAAAAGAAGGCACGGCGATGGTGCAAATGGGTGACGGTGTGTCTGTGGAGCGCTGCGTCCAGAACCTCAACAACGTCACCGTCGGAGACTACACGCTCACACTCGCGTAAGTCACTCACCACATTCGACACGCTCGTCACACTCGTCACAATAGTCATGTTCGTCACACTCATCACACTAACTATCTCATCCGCCTGTTAACGTCATCAATATTAGTGGTGCAACCACGATTTGTATCACAAATTATTGTTTCAATAATTCCGTCTCACGAATTTAGTCGTTTTTTACCCCTTACCAACATCCTTGTCACAAATGGCCTTTTTTAAAATCTAGCTTGTATTACTTAATGTAGAGATACAATAATAAATACACCGAGAATGAAAAAAAAGGGATATTATAAATATATTAGCTACAACCAATATCACTATTAAAAAATAGGGGTTGGTGGTAGAAGGGTGAAAATGTAGGGTTGTAAATGTAGAGGTATGTATTTTTAATAACAAATCATATAAACAATTTTTTTTTTATATATTTTTGAAGTGGGTCTCTCTTATCACTTACTAGTATGAAAATAGTTAGTAGCAGATTCTCAGACCTACTGAATATGCATGTAAAATTTCGTAAAAATTTGTCAAGCCGTTTCGTAAGAGTAACATTTTGACATGAGAATATATATAATATAGAATAGTTATTCTCACATACGATTGCAGGTTTTCAAAACAAGCGTACCTGTCTGAGGTGATGAACCCGTACCCGCTTCCGGACAAGAGTCCCTCGTTCAAAGACTACGTGGGCAACAAGAACAACCGCTTCCTCACTCCGGCCTCCATACACAAGAATAGAATACAGCCGCCCTCCAAGGTAACGTGTTATTGAGGCAAAAAAGCCACTGAATTCATTCCCACATGCTAGAACGAGTTTGCAACTCGTTTGTCCACTATATTATATTCTATTCTATTCTATTCTATTCTTACTATAAAAAAAAAGTATTTCGATTTTATATTTTGATTGGAGAATCTATATTCTCCAATCAAATTTATTTTTGTAAATAAACTTTAAATTTATAGCTGTACCCGCGACTTCGTCCGCGTGGAATATAACTTTATTTTTCAAAATCAAAAGATTTTGCTGAAATAAAAGTTACTCCATATTACATCAGCTACCTACCAATAAAAGTCTCGTCAAAATCGGTCCAGCCATTTCAGAGATTAGCCGGAACAAACAGACCGACATACAGACAGACAAAAACTGTAAAAAATGTGCATATGCATGTAGTAAAAAAACGGTTATTTCAATATTACAAACAGACACTCCAGTTTTATTTATATGTATAGATAAAAGAGTTTCTCAACAGCGTTGTGTTACTTCCAGGTGCTGCATTTCTTCAACACGCCACCAGATGTGTCCGACGATCAACTGCTGCAGGTCTTCAAGGATTACGGCGTGATGCCACCACACACCATCTCCAAGTTTCCCCTCAAAAGTGAGAGGTAAATAAAAAATCTCACCTTAAGAAATAAATACAAAATTCATAATATATAAACCTCTATAGGAGATTTGAAGGACAAAGATTAAAAATGAAGCATTTTATCAATTTTTTTAAATATAATAACTCTTTTAAGTATGTATTTATGTATTATTTATTTAATAGAGCAACACGCAAGTTTCTTTTTCGTTCTTTTTATAATATTGTGATGAGTATGTGTTCCGAATGAGTGATAGAATAAAAAAATACTTTCAAAAATGCTTATTTTAAGTTTATTTGTCTAAAGATTATTTCCAAATCTATTTCTGTAGTTACACACCTCTCGCTTCATACGCATCTCGTTTTATATATCCGAGCGGTTTTAGGACAATAACTGAAGTTGTTTATAAAAAATTTCAGGTCGTCATCAGGCCTGATGGAGTTCCAGAATATATCGCAGTCCGTGATGGCGATTATGGCGTGCAACCACGCCACCATACAGCATCCTGGTGAGTACATGTCTGTTTTTAGTTTATCAGGTCTGTTGATCTATATAAACCTCAGGCAGTGGTATAGGATGAGCACCAGGTCCCTTTTCAGGCAATCACTCAAATAATCGTTTAGTGAGTAATAGGCTTTGCTCAGTGAATATGATTTAACAGGTGTTTTGAATTTATTTAATGGCAATTCCAATATATCCTTTGGTATCTTATTGTAAATTTTATACCTATTCCCATAAAAGACCTATTGACTTTTTCTAAACGATACTTGGGGACAGCAAGTTTGTCTTTAAATCCAGTATTAATATTATTAATAGTAATTTGTCAGGTCTATACCTGGTATATAAACCTCAGGTTTAGGAGCACCAGGTCCCTTTTAAGATCGCCAACCCCATATAGGAGATGGCACCTACAGAAAAAAGATATACCCAATAGGGAAGGGAACTATTAAATATAACAGTGTATATAATAAATACTTTATTTATGAATATTTATTTATACTTTATGAATTATAAGTATAGTTCGCATAACGCCATCTAGTTAACGCCAACGCAGCGATAGAACAAGTTTTTTAGGAAGTCCTTACTCTAAATTAATTACACAGCCTGATCTAGTCCTGAGCTAATTAATTTTTTTTTAGAAATTTCATATTACACAACGCTTTCTAGTCGTAAGCTAATCAGAGATTGGTTTGAGACAACAGTTTTTTATGAAGTATAAGCTTTGGAGAATTTACACAACGTCATCTAGAGCTAATCAGAACTTGCTTACAGAACATAATAGATAATAATAATCTCAGGACAATTCACACAGCGCCATCTAGGCCCAAGTTAAGCTAGCTAAAGCTTGTGTTATGGGTACTAGACAACTGATACAAATACATAGATATATTTTTTTTTTGTAAATATATACATATTATACATAGAAAATACCCAGACCGATACAAACAATCATACTCATATATACAAATGTTTGTGCCGTGCGATGAATCGAACCCGCGACCATCGGTCGTAAAGCGGTGTGCTAGACCGCTAGACCACCGAGGTCGTCAAGATATATCGTCAATAGAACTAATAAAAACTTGGTTTGAGACGACTTATTCTTGTTTTAGGAAGTAACTCTAGAGGATTCACACAATGTCATCTAGTCCCGAGTTAATCATAACTTGTTTTGAGACAACAAATTTATTTTTTACACATATATCCTGATCTAATCAGAGCTCGATTTGAGATTTATTTTATTTTAGGAAAGTTTAGCGGTAGAACTTTTTATAGTTTGTGGGTAACTCGGTCTCAAGTATTTCAGCCGCAAATCAGTTTGCTTTGTAAGTTGTGTTTCGGTTGTAGAGTGCAGATTAGGCAGTCACGTTACTGGATTAGAGGTGTGATCTCTTAGTCCACTGGAACTGCATTGCATATCTGATAGTGCAGGTCTGATATGAGAGAGCTATGTCCATAGTGCTGTTTATGTATATAGGCGACGTTTAGCACTTACTAACAAACCGAAGGGGGTTGTTAGTAATAATCCCCTAATTAATAGTAATAATAGATATATTTCAGCATTATGTTAGTATTTGGGTTTGGTTAGATATTAATTACTTCTGTACTAGTAAATATTGCTAATTCTATTTTTGTTTTCAGAAACTAGTAAAGTAGATTCTAATATAAAGCTTGTATTAAATTATTTCTGCCCACAAGTAGCTTTCTTTTAAGCTGGACACAGCTTTGAAGGCTGCTTCTTTTGGTTTAGAGTGCTATCTGCACTCGTACCCTGTTATCCAGTGAAATTCTAAAGGCCAGCTGCAGCCGACGATATATTGGTAGCTCCGAGAAAAACTTTATATTTCTGACTGGAGGCAAACAAGAATATTTCAAAACAATTCACACAGCGCCATCTAGTCCCAAATTTGTGTTGTGTGTATTGACACTGATATAAATACATTTTTTTTGTAAATACATAATATACATAGACCAATACAAATAACCATGCTCATGGATACAAATGTTTGCACTGTGCGAAAAATCGAATCCGCGACCACCGGAAGTAAAGCGGTGTGCTAAACCGCTAGACCACCGAGGCCCTCGGAACTAAATTATCTTCAACAGTCATATAAAAATAAAGTCATATAACAGTCGACTAACGACACATCTAAACACATTTCCAGGTGCGAAATTCCCGTTCGTAATGAAGCTGTGCTTCTCGTCGTCACGACAGATCGGACAGGCGAAGGGCGTGGGCCTGAAGAACTTCGACCAGAAACAAGATAGCAACCAACGGCAGCCGCAGAACAACGGCATGGCAGAACACGAATACTAGTAAGATATCGACCCTATACTCTAGGTAGTAACGTGTATATTCGAGGAACACGCAAGTGGTTTAAAAAAAAGACATGTAAATTGTGCTTTAGGGACGACGGACCAATGTTATGTCGGTTAGCACGCGGTCGGCGCTGCCAACCGTCCAAGTGGAATCCTTATTGAGAATGTTACCAGCTTAAAAAAATATTGTTGAATATAGTAGATTATTTATCATAGTTGTCCAATTTCTGTTGTAATTTTAATGTAGCTATTTGTAAAGCTGAATTGCTTTCCTGCACAAAATAATTTGTAATAGCGAAAATTGTAATGTTTTATAGTATTAATGTTTCTGTGTCGGGAAAATTCGGCCTAAAATTCTAAATATTATGTTGTTTATTGAATAGATCTATATTTTATTGTTTATTAGTAACGACAGCTTTTGCATAACTATTCTCAAATGGATTTGTTCTCTAGTCAAAATTTAATAGGGTATACGCCATCATTTTCTATGTTCTAAAAACTTCATCAGTACACTTCTTCAGTTATAATAGATTGCCATGAGAATAAATTCATCACCATGGGTCTTGCATGCCCAGGATGATGAATTGTGTACCACAATCGATGATGACCAGCAAATATCAACCTGGACTCATAGAAATACTACTATCTGTCTTAAATTTCACTTGTAATTATCTAAGAAATTAATTTAATTAGAGAAAAAGTAAGCATGGAAACAACAGGAAGTATGGAAGCTTCCAGAATACCAGGAGGAGGTTGCACTCCGTGGTAGTAAGAGACAATAACGAAAACTTTATGGTGTAATGTACCATATATTGCATAAAGTGATATTGTAACATTCTATTAATAAGATTTTATTAATTGGAGAGAAAAATTCTAAATATTACTAACTTTGTTCAAATTGCCCATGGATTTTCCAATGGTGGGCATAGATCTCTCTTAATGTTATTAGTGGACGATTACCTTACTGGCCATAAGGTTTGGTATAGTGTCTTTCTTAGTTATTCTTAGTTTTGATGTTTTATACAAAATATAAAAGTTTACGCTCATGGCTTACGTGTCACTCGGTATAAAACAGTGTTGCCAACTTAGAAAACGTTACGTTTGGTTTTCATTTAATTTCGTAATAGCATTTTGTTCAATGTTAAATATTGTTAATGTTCAATAATGAACACTGTTCAACATTGAAAAATGGGCGCCAAGGCGTCAAGCCTTACCGAGCCTTATGATATTGAGTAACGGCCTTATAAGGTCGCTAATTGCTTGGCGACAGAAGTGAACGAGGGTGGGGTATCCATGCTTTTTGCTTAAACTCAGGAAATGTTACAACAATAGGCGTATACCCTATCTATTGCATAATATTATATTTACGCGAAAACTTTCGACTGAAACTATACTCTTGATATTTTATGAATTTTAACCAGATGTTGTATGAATTTGACATTTTAATGTTTCACAGTAGGGACCATAGTTATAATAATGTAAACGTATTGTATATTTGCTTGAAATTTCATATATATATATATATATATATATATATTGTGACAAAAGTTTCATGACGCAAAATTAGTTTCTTCAAAATCAAGGAGCTATAATTGTGTATTGCAATATGAACTCAATGTTGTGTCCAATAAAGTTGACCTTAGAAAAGTCTTTTTTCAAATAGTTTTATTGGCATTAATCGTGATTGGTATAAATTATTTTTTATTTAAAAGATATAATGGAGTTGCAATTATTTCGTTACATGATTATTATTTTGTTTAATGATGGATTATTTTGTTAATTAATAATAATATTGGAATTTATATTTGTGAATGTCGATCAAGTAAAAGTGTAAAGGTAATTCGATATCTCCCATCTCTTTCTATCAATTACTCAACAAGCGAGCGAGCGTATGTTAAACTATATGTTGTGATATAATAGAGAAATCGTCACTTACAGCCAGTAGACGCTTCCTACATAAAATAATATAGATTTTTTAGTTTTTACATCTATTTGGTTTAGTATTTGTGAGGAGTTTGTACTATTATAACATAGTGATTACTTGCTCATTGAGAGAAAGAAAGAAAAAAAGAAAGAATATAGTTTATTTGGTACATAATAAAAATAAAAATAATTTTAATGTTTTTAATCACATACTGGTTTATATCAATTACATAGTACCTGTAGAATCCTACACTACACTTTTGAATTAAAAGTTGATTATGGACTGTAATTTCGTGTCATAATTTATATATTTAAATACAGAGAGTGAGATAGAATATTGAGCGACCGTGTAGTATTGGGTGGCGAGATCAGAAGTGAGGGTGAGGGTCGGTGCTATTCGCACCTCGAGCCTCGCCCCGCAGCGGTGCTCGCGGACTACAGTCCAGCGAGCCGACGGTGTCCAAACAGTACCAATTTGTTAATTTTAAACTTTCGTGTTTAATATACATTATTTAAATTATTAACCGGGTCTTAACACGAATAATTTTATGGCAAATAAAGGTATTTACCTCTCTCGACGTTTCGACTAGGTTGCACTAGCCGTGGTCACGAGCTGACTGGAGTAACAGCGATGTCAATGTAGATAGGTGACAGCAGTTTTTTCTTCATCTATTTCTCTGACATCGCTGTTACTCCAGTCAGCTCGTGACCACGGCTAGTGCAACCTAGTCGAAACGTCGAGAGAGGTAAGTACCAATTTGATCCTTTCAATATTCATATTGCAATATATACATCATTTGTTAATATATATTTACATTTACTTATTTTCTTTATTGATAAATTTTAATATAAAATATAATAAATTAGAAATTCGAGCGAATATACAATATTGGTTTTTATATAATATACCATCTTCGTTACAGTTGAATAATATATATTCTTATAGTGAAATTCTACACTATTTCCATGAAGCTACCGTTTCACGGGTTTTTTTAAAAATATGTAATTAATCTCTGACACTGGAGCATTTGACGGCAACACACATTTTATGACTGTCTTAAAGCATTTTATAACATCTAAATTGTAATTCATAATTCAATTCAAAATATCTTTATTCATGTAGATCTATTACAGACTTATGGTATGTCAAATCTACCGACAGTTCGGAATGATTTCGAGATGAGAAGAACTGACGAGAAACTCAGCTCGTATTCTTTTCAAATAATAGTGGAACATGTTTATAATAATACACAGTCATTAAAATTCAAATTTGGGAGAATAGAGTGACTTCCAGCATAGAGTGACCATATAAAATATATATTTTTGCAGATATATCATTTTCTCTAATATTATAAATGCGAAAGTTCGTGAGTATCGGTAGATGGATGTATGTATGTTTGTTGCTCTTTCACGCAAAGACTATTCTATGGATTTTAATGAAATTTTATAGTCATACGACCAAACGGCTCAACTGATTATAATAGAATTTGGTATGGAAATAGATCGCAGCACTAGGAACGGACATAAGTCGCCTTTTATCTTAAAAGTGCAGATCAAATTAAAAATATATCGCTAATTTTATATTACTACAAGCTGTACCTGCAGTTTGACGTGCGTTAAATTTATAGCTTACTAACTGTGCCCCTCGGTTTCACACGCATTAAATTTCAATATAAAATATAGCCTATGTGTTCTTCTGATACATAAGCTATATTAATGTAAACTTTCATTAAAATCAGTACAGTAGTTTTTGCGTGAAAGAGTAACACTCATTCATCTATCCATCCATACAAACTTCCACGTTCATAATATTAGTAAGATGTTTTATTATAAACTACCTACCCGCCCCGGCTTTCTTTCTTTTCTTTCCGTCGTTTTTCGTAAAATAAGTAGCCTACATATGTCCTTCCACACGGTTCAGTGGTTTTGATGTGTTTCCCTAACATTTCTCTTCACTGCTCTGCTCCTATTGTTCGTAGCGTGATGAAAAGTATACTATAACCTGCCGAGGTGTATGAAGAATAATTGTACCAAGTTTCGTTAAAATCCGTCGAGTAGTTTTTGTTTCTATAACGAACATACAGACAGACAGACAAACATTTTGCTGATTGCACTTTTGGCATCAGTATCGATCACTAACCCCTGATAGTTATTTTGGAAATATATTTCATGTACAGAATTGACCTCTCTACAGATTTATTATAAGTATACGAGATGATAATACTTTTAATATACCATTAATCATTAATCTGATATTGTCAATCGAAAGTTAACCTTACGGTACTTATAGACGTTGTTAGAAATTGAACCCTGTTGATTAATGTCACAAAATTCATTTTAATTACATTATCAGTGAACTGGAAGTGCGTATTTAGTTTGGTTGAGTTATAAATGCTTTGAGCAGTCGTAGAGAATAAATTCATAAAGCTTTTGTACCTTCATAATCTCGTCTAAGCCAAATACTAAAGCCAAAGTTATTTGATATATTAGAATTAAAGTATGCAACATATATATATGTATATATATATATATATATATTATATATTATATGAATATATGAAATGTGAAAAATTAATATGTACATATAGCTGTCGATACAATTGCTTCGCGTCAATAGTTTTAATGAATGTACAATCAAGTACTCAAGTGTCATGTTCAATATATAAAAAAAATGTCAAATGTTAATATATTTAAGAATGAGAAATTTTATCTGATTAGTTTAATGGACTCAATAAAAATAGTAAGATTTTAATGTTTATATAAAAAAATGAATGACATATCTTTGTGACTAACTTGGTATGTATTTATATGCGATGGTTGAGATGTCAATTTTAGAACAGCTATGAGGGGGTCATCCGTATGTTACGTCACACGTGGGGAGCGGGACGGTCACCAAAGTGTGACAATGGGGGTATATTTCGCAACGTCACATATCAAAGTCAAATATATATCGAGTGTTAGAACGAAATTTGAAAGAAGGGCTGAGGTTCGTGCCTTGGGAGAGGCCTATGTCCAGCAGTGGACTGCAGTGGGCTGATTACGAAGCTATTAAATAGTATTTATCATTCATTCAACTTTAAAATGTAAAGTTACAACAATAATGTAAAAGAACAACACGCAAATTTCTTGCTCTATTTTCTTTTGATGTGACTTTCCTTGAGCTTTCCGAATCAGCGGTAGATTAAAAAAAATAACATGACTATTCAGTGCTTAAATTAAGTTTATTTGATAATTAATTTTATATTCTATTCTAGTAGAGTTACAAAATTATTAACTATTAACGTCACACAGGGGGGTCTCACAAAGTGACCAACTGTGACAAGGGGGGTGAAATGATGAAATTCGTCTGACGTGATTTGTGGATGGCCTCTAAGCCTGTAGATAAGTGTATATCTTATTGTACAATCGCGCACAGCTCATATATTTTGTGAGATGGGTCACTGGAGAATGCTTTTTAATCTTAATGAATTTAGATTTATATTTGAATCGCTGAGATAGTTATTGGTAGATGATAATAATTATTGATAGGGTGCGGGTGTGCGCGATTGTACAGTTGCTTGCCCCGTCTGATATATCGTCAATTGTATTTTTTTTTATACGTGTCTAGGCAATGTGGTGGTTGTATAATGCTTATAAATATTGTAATCTACATATCACAGTGACAAATAATTACTCGTATAATTGTAAATATGAATACGCTGTGACTATACGTCTTTTCTACAAATATCCACAGAGTTACATAAATTTGGTTTGCTCAATTTTTGTTTTTGTCTATGTTCATTTTTCTTTTTGGTTATTTTTATGTTTTTTATTTCTATTACTCATTGGAAATTACAGACATTTTTTACATTACAATATATACAAATGTCACGGCCGGGACTGGGAAAGGGAGCGTGTTTAATTTTTTTTTTAATTTTTTTCTTTTTTTTTTTTATAAATGGCTACCCTTTTTCGGTTCAAGGCCCATTATGTACAACATAACTCACATAAACGTATTTGCTTCTAGCTAACGGAGATGCGGCGGTCTACACACACTCACACATATCAAGACGGACGGCACACAGACACACACAGGCACACCACTACGAGTGTGGGGGGACTGGGGTTGCCATTGCTAACTACAAATATACCCCACAGATAAAATATATCCTTCATGAACATGAACTCTTAACTTATAAGTTAGGGGTAGTTTGCGAAGGGTAACATTTGAGCAATGGCATTATTATAATTCCTTATTTATACATTTTGTGACCTAGATCACTCTTATAAAGACATTAACAGTTAGTTTCTCTTAATATAATTATAGACAGAATTAACAATTCTCATGTTAAAACACATTATTACATTTCCATTGTATGATTTCTTTTTTTTATGTTTACTTTTTTTTTCGAAGCCACGCTTCGTTGGATGCAGTAGGCATTTTAGGTTTCCGAGTAACGGCCAATTAAGTAATATTCCCATATTTTTCAGTTGTAATCTTAGTGTTTAGTTTTATATTCTTCGGTGCCATTTTCAAACACTCTACGATGTGAAGAATTTTCAATTTTTTTTTATATTACGACGGAATTAATTTTAGATGATTTAGAGTTTTGAGGATGGTACTACGTTATCCGATTTTTTTTAGTGATTTTTTTTAGTAAATCGATATTAGTTTGTGAGTTTGTTTTAAGATTAAGCAAGTTAGGAGCTTTCGTTTTTTATTCATCTCCATCCTAAACGTGCGTTCATGAGTGATATATGTACTTACATATATTGGACTGATACATATAGTTACATATATCGGGATCGGATGCACGGATATTGTTTCCAACGGTTGTTTTCTGTAAACGTAACAGTTGTGACATGTACAAGTAATAAAGAAACTGTGGTATAAGGTAGAACATTCGAGTTTCATTTTTATTTGTTCAAATACAAGGCTTGGAGTTTGCATGTTTTCAAATATTATTTGCATGGATTTTACGAAAGCGGTAATAGTAGGGATGATCGATATTAGGAAAATATCGATATCAGAAAACATCGATGTTTCATTATATCGATATTAGAAAATATATTTCGTTGTGATCAGCGTTCTTGTTTTATTTAGGCTGCTAATACACGGCCTCGATATATTTGGGACTGCAAGCGTTGTTTTTGCGATGTACAAAGTTCTTTTTTTACGGCGATTTAAAATCGATGTTAGAATATCGATATTTTCCTATTAATGTTAAATATCCGATCATCGCTTAATAGCTGGAAACATTGTTTGTTTGACCACTTTACTATTGTGTAAGAACCAAAAGTATGTAAATGTAAGTAAATAGTTTAACACTCTATAGGTTAGTAGTAAGCGTCATTGCAATGTCAATTATATTTGATTAGTGAAGAATTGTGACACTACGGATTTTCTATAAATTTTCTTAAAAGTAAAAAACAAAATTAGCGGACTATTGATCATGGATGTTGATTAATAAGCTATGCACACGGAGTAGTGTTAGGTCGTCGACGACAACGCGGGGCACCGCTAGTGCTCCACTTGTCTATGTTTCCGTTCTCGTCTCTATGGATAGATGTTTGTATGGTGTGACTTGTGCTAGCTTGACTATACTACTGTTTATGATATGGCTCTGAGATAAATAGCAATTCTCCTTCGCGAAGATACATCACAAATATTTTTTACACGTTTATTAGATTTAAACAGTCGGGCGGCCGAATATATATATTTGAATTGCCTTCCCTTGTAATAATATAATATTTATCGAAGAGGCTTAAATATATTTACTATATCTTACTTTTAATGTTCCAATGGTAAATAATTTACCACTCATTGTTTTCATGACGTAAACAGTCTTATAGGCTGCCGTATAAATTACTAGTTAAATAAAATAGCTGATTAAAAAAAAACTTATATTGTTATCAGGTAAATAGATGCATATCTTTTTCTCTAGAGGTATTTTCGAATGGAAAATTAATGTTTTAGTGTTAGAACATGGATGTCGTGATAGCTTACAACTGTTTTGTGTTAAATGTACAGAGAATATATTGAGATTGTTTACAGTATCTATATGTTTATGAAACGATTGTACCGTTCTTATGTTTGTGTAACTCTATGTTTTAGACATTTGACATTATATGTATAATTAGTAAAAATCACGGGATCTTACCACGTTTTATATTTATTTGCTGAGTTCCCGATATTTCGGTAGTTTTACAGTTTGCCGAGATGAATATCGAGCGAGTTCCAGTAGTAGCAACAAACGAAGACGTGTGAAGGTAGACGCGTATATCTGCCCATAAAAACATTTCATTTTCCATCTACCCGCTGCTCTTCAGTTTACCCGTGATCATGGTGGTTGAAACACTACCGAAATATCGGGAACTTAGCAAATAAATATAAAACGTGGTAAGATCCCGTGATTTTTACTAATTATACGTATATAATGAACGAGTCAGGTTTAAAACAGTATATTTGACATTATGACACTATTCTACTACAATATGACAATTTCAAACATATTTTACACATAAAAATATCTAAATATATATATATTTAGTGATATATAAGGTATTTTGTGTGTAAGATCACATACGAGAACAATACGCCGATAGACGCGTACAAAACGACACAAGAAACCGCACTTTAGTTTTGTCATATATTTAAGATAATTGTAATGTTTTAGTTTTACCCTTTCCTTTTTCAATATTTTAGCTTACCTTCATTGGACTTAGGTACTTGTAGTAACATGGTAAACATTAAATACATGTCAACTCACAAAATATTCTTTCATTTAACACGACTATTATTGTCTACCACGAGTTTATTAGTTATTGAGCGGAACGTGAACTTAGAAATCAGATTTACGCTCTTTGTAACGATACTCCTCCGAAACTAGACGGAACGAGAACAAAATTTCATAGTAGTTGGTTCATAACTCAATCGTTTACCACTCAAAAAAAATCCGATCGATCAAGGTTTTTAAGAATAAATGCGCTCAACTCAACATGTGACAAAAACATCGGTTTTTTCAGACTACTCTAATGCTGTTGGCCGCAGCTGGCCTTTACAGCTTCACCGGACGATATCAAGACATCGGTAACAAACCTGGTTTATACTAGGTACACGCTCCGACTTCTCACGGGTGTACATGTATTATACATATAAACCTTCCTCTTGAATCACTCTATCTATTGCTAAAACTGTTTTAAAATCCGTTGCGTAGTTTAAAAGATATAAGCGAATAGACGACGGAAGCGAATTTTATACTATGTTAATATGTACTATTTAATTATTAAATTCTTCTATAATAATACGAAATAAACTCGTGGTAGACTCACAGAACATGCGCATGAAAAATGCACCTATACCTGCCCTATACTACCAAATAACACAAATAACAAATTATGTTTTATTTTTATTTGTAATAAAACCTTAAAAGTTTTGTTGGCGACTGTCCTAATATAAAAATGTGTGATTTTGTTTTATTATTTGGGATGAGTAATATAAATATTAAAAGTTTCGTTCAACAACAGAAAAATGCACTTTAAATTAAGATTAAAAATGAGTCATTTTGTTTGTTTTTTTTAATCTGATATTTAACAAAAAGAATCTTTAAAATTGATTATAGAGTTTATTAAAAAATGTAAATAACTATTCAAATATAAATTATATACAATATTTTATGAAGAAATCAGGATTTTTTTAAATGCCTCAAGATGTAGTGCACTTTTTGATAGATGAAAAGTTTCCTATCGCATTGGACTGATTTTGTGTTCTCTTTTCTATTTATATATTGAAATCAAATATATATCGAAGTTATGCCAAATGTGAGAAAATAAAATTATTTATATTTTTTATAGAATTATCATTCTTATAAACTATTAAGGAGTGTTTGATTTTAATTTAATAGTAGGTTTCTATATAGTCTGAAAGAATTTGCATTTCTACATGTTTTATATTTCATATAAGTTTTCAACTGCAAAGTAGTAGTGTTGCCCTCTTATCGATTAAAATATAACTATAGGTATAAAAATTCTCTTTAACCATTAGACTATTGCGTAACTTTCTTTCAAATTAAGAAAAAAAATTGAATCAAATAATATTAACAGCTGAAATTGGTTTGTTATTAACACAAATTACAATTTTGCATCACAATTCAGTTATTAAATAAGTAGTAATTATAACAATAATGGGTACAGACATACAGAAGTATTTATTACTATATATCGCATATACCTAATACAATATTTGAATAACTAATACATTACAAATGTTAGAAAATATACCCTAAAGTTATAGCTCTAAAGTCTAATTTAAAAATATATAATTATTTGATGTGTTATATATCAGTTTTATAATTATGTTGGTACAATATCCACAACATAATTTTACTCAACTAAATATCAAATATACTCAACAAAAGTATCACGAAACAAAACAATGGTGCCGCTCAGTGTTGCCAGATGATCATCATTTACCCCTAAATATTGCTCAAAAACTCCCCAAAAATCATGCACTATCCAAATGCTACCAATTTGCTAACCAAATTCATTAAAAATCTCTTCCATATAATTGATCTTCGTCTCATGTGGAGCGGGGGACCTCCAGCTTCTATTCCCCTATATTTGAGAATTTTATTCCCCTACATTTGGGAATTCCCCCCATCTGGCAACACTAGTACGGGCGGCGAGAATAGCTACTACCAAACTAACTTACTAAAACTAAACTCAATTAAAACTCATCCAACGTGATGCAATTCTTGGCATGACTTTTAATTGATGAAATCTCAATCTGACACAAATAAACGGTAAATTTTAATTACCAATTTGTCGTAAAAACGTACTTGAGAAAAAAAAATATTTACAATTTTTATTTCGTGTATTCCTATACCTGATTTCTGTAGTTCTAATCTTGTTTTATGGGGATATTAAACTATCATATATTGCAGACTCAATTCCTTAATATTATTAGACCTGAAAAAAATTGTGTTCCACAAATGATATTATATGTATGATAGTGTAATGATTCCTGTAAATGAAATGAAATGGTGACCGTCGACTAAAAACTTATGTCCGAGATTAACAAATTGGAGTATCAGACCTTAAAGACAAAGTGACATTCTGTTATATAAGTAGGTTAAAAAATGTTTGAGATTGACTTGACACATATCAATCTCATACACAGCATAATTATCATACATACATCATATATACATACACTTATACATGTGAAATGTTTATACCAATAAACCTACGAATATCCTGAAAATAATATATGATGTACATATGTTATACATACAAAGTTTCCCCTTGAATCATTATTTATAGTTAATAACTACATTAAAATCCGTTGCGTATGTTAACTTGAAAAGAATTTATTAGTTAGTTAGTAATTAGTTTATATATGAAAGGGGGCAAAAAGTACTATATATGTGTAACTATGTAGTATTTTTTGGCCCTTCTGATTGAAACCCCGTTCAAATTCAAAAGGGGATCGAAATTACGACGGCCTGTCCCTAGGTTCAGACCCCTAACGATATCCTCAGGCTGGCGTATTCGTTGGCGGGAGTTGGCCTGCAGCCGCTCCAAAAGTCCTTCCTTTGGTTGTGCCATCTGCACTCCGTCAAGCCTCTCCGATTGATCCCCCGTCCAATTCTAACGGGGATCGATATTACGACGGCCTGAGCCGAGGTTCGAACCCCTAGCAGTGCCCTCAGACTAAAGTCGTATCCGTCAGGCGGGAGTTGGCCTTCAGCCGCTCCATAAGTCCTTCCTTTAGTTTGTAGTGCCATCTGCACTCGCCCCCTATCGTCTGTTGTAACTGTAAAGACCAGCTAGAACAGCTTTAGAATGGTTAATATATATATATATATATATTTGTGTAACATGTAAAATTTGGTATAAATATATTACATATATATGTTTTATGTTTGATGGAAACTAGAAACAACATGTTAGAATGTTACTTTATTAAAGTAAATTGGAATTGTATGGAAGTACGCGTATGTAAATTGGTTGTATGAAAGCGGAGTGGCGATGTTCATTTGTAAATAGTAAGTACATATACCTAGTTTGTTGTTTTATATCTTTTTAGGTTTACTGTAAAGTTTAGACTACGGAAATATTTATACGATAGATCGCTGCACACGATACGCGGAGATGTAAAGTTGTATAGAAAATAAACATGTTTTTTTATTGACCTAGTATTATTTTGGAGATTTATTCGCGGCCCAGTGGTTTACTACCTGTCTTCGAAACTAAAGGACGTGGCTTCAAATGTGGTCGACACAAAAATTCTTTCATTTTATGACGGAGAATTATTAACATCCCGGTGATGGATACACCGGTAACAATCTAAATTACCAGTGAGAGGATGGCTCTAGATTACACTCCAGTTACTTTGGTATCTAAATACTCCGTGAAATGTAAACGTATATTCATATATTATATACTATAACAAGCTACTCGCTCCGGCTTCGCCCAGGTGTACATGTATTATACATATTAACCTTCCTCTTGAATTACTCTATATATTAAAAAACCGATTCAAAACCCGTTGCGTAGTTTTAAAGATTTAAGCATACATATGGACGGACAGACAGGAACAGCAACTTTGTTTTATACTATGTAATGATAATGATGTTGACAATTATCAACGACTGACTACCCCCATACAGTCTATATTTGAAAGGTACTTGACTCTTCTTAATTTAAAATAATAGACAAATTTACATATTTTTTTATTTGTTTTTATAATGGAAGGGATGCATCAATCGGCTCTAGCGATTTACACTAACGGGACACCAGTACAGGATGATGGGATGTACATAAAGTCAGGTCGGTTAACACATTTCGCCATTTCACGATCACGAGCATGGAGCTCAATCTGACATGGTACAGTGCTAGAAATGGTGAAAACGTTACTAAAAATAATAACTAGAATTCTAGGAAATTGCAAAGACTAAAGGTAACATGTAGAAAGTATGATGTAACAGATGTTCAAATAAACAGGCACACGAAATCACAGGCATAGTCAGGTTAAAGTAATGTCTACAAGCTGACCCACGATACTTCGTCTGCATCACACATGCTTGATATGTATCATTATATTTCTCCCAATTTAATTACTATCTTTTTAAATTATATAGTCTGTGTTATTCTAATGTATAGTCTATAGGTACTAATGTAAAGTTACATCAAAATCAATTCAACTATTACGTAATCAGATTTATTACAATTATTTACCCCCCCCCCCCCCCTCCCCCTTGTTAGCAAAAGTAACTTTTATCCCCTCCCCCATGATTACATTTTGTCAATTTTTATAGCAAAGACAATATGAGGGTTGCCATTTTCGTAAAAAGTAAATACCTACCTTAAAGCAAAGACCCCCCCCCCCCCATAGTGCTTACGTAATACTTGAACGCCCCCCCACCCGTAGTATTTGCGTGAGAGTAACATCATCCATACTCACAAACTTTCGCATTTATAATATTAGTCAGATGGCTGGATTCATGTCCCTCATGACCCACCAGGCAAATAATCACTACATTTAGAACACAAATAAACTATTTGACAGTTGCTGTTACAATTACAAAGTTATACGGTTTGGAGTTGAAATGGTCATACTATTTGCTAAATAAATAGTAAAATAAACAGTATAATTTAATTTGTTTCAAAATAAAACTTTCAGAAGCTATATCATACATATAAGCTAAAATTCGATGGATGAATAGAGGTGATCGATGTTTTTAGAGTGATGTCAAATCTTCGATATATATATAGAAATATCGATGTTTCGATATTATGGAAATATCGATGATTATATCAAGGTTTGGTTATTAAAACGGATTCAATACTTAAAAACCAAAAGATCAATCGAAACCCAAAATTAAATCATATCAAATAGACAAACTGAAAACATCAACTTTTTATCGATATTTATCGTATTCGATACTCATAGACCTATGTCAACATCGATATTTCTCTAATATCGAAGAATAATCTCTATTTACAAATAACGATCGGTCCCATTTGTCACCACCATTATTGTCATTTCTTACTAGAATTGAAAATATTTATAAAATAGTTATAATTAAATTAAAACCCAATTTTCCAAAGTTCCAAATACTTAGTAAAATCTCTTTTTTTTACTCTTTTATAGCCATGGGTACTAGCTCTTTTATTTGAATGATCATAATTTAGGGAATAGTGTTGCAAGTTTATATTTTTCCTTATCAATAGTGGTATAATTGTATTGTTTGCATTAAATATAAATTACAAAATAATTAATAATTAGTTTCAATTAATTTCCCCTACATATTTAATTAACAGGTCATGAACAGGTTATAAACAGGTCCTTAGGTAGCTCTATTATAGGGTTCATCTATTATTTTAAATAAATAGTGAATACAAAATACTAGACTCCAAATTTCCGCAGTGTCTCAAAACGAAGGTTTACGACCAATGTGTGTTGCCAGTGATGACTTACGGAACAGAGACGTGGTCGCTAACTATGGGCTCCATCAACAAGCTCAGAGTCACTCAGAGAGCAATGGAGAGGGCTATGCTCGGAGTTACTCTGCGTGATCGAATCAGAAATGAGGAGATCCGCAGAAGAACCAGAGTGACCGACATAGCCCGAAGAATTGCGACTTTGAAGTGGCAATGGGCAGGGCACATAGCTCGTAGGACAGATGGCCGTTGGGGCAGTAAAGTCCTCGAGTGGCGACCACTGACCGGAAGACGCAGCGTGGGAAGGACTCCAGCAAGGTGGACCGACGATCTGGTCAAGATCGCGGGAAGGCATTGGATGCGAGCAGCGCAGGACCGATCGTCGTGGAGATCTTTGGGGGAGGCCTATGTCCAGCAGTGGACGTCTTCCGGGCTGCGATGATGATGATGATGATGACAAAATACTATGTAATTTTTACGTTATAGTTTAAACTAAGATTAAAATAATGCAAACTAAATATCTAGTTTTCTAGTAGTTATATAGAAAAGTATGATGATATGTGACAATTAAAAAATATTTGTTGTATACTGAAAATATATTGTTGTTTAATCATTTATCACCAAATATTTAAACAATTAATACCGAAATATTTAAACAATTACAGCATTTTATTTTCATTCGTTTAATTCTATTTTATCGATTTTATACAATAATAATGCACCTACTCTGGTCTACAAATATGTGTCTTTAGGAAATCTAAAGACACATATTTGAAAAAGGTATAAATGTATGTAAATTTTTATTATTTATAATTTATAGTTGACCTTTTAGAATTCAATTAATGTTTAGAATAATAATTATATTGATATTTTATTTTATGATACGTTTTTTAAGACCATAGATAAATAATACTGGGAATTTATTCCTGTGAAATGGCAACATTGAGTAAAAAATTTAATACGTAATGGTGGCTGCATGTGTGTCGAAATCATTGCTGACAACTTATTTATTTAAAACATTGGAAAACATTCAGAAAATAATTTCTATACCAATCTAAGCATATTACAGGTAAACTTAGTGAGATAAATATTTTTATTTCAACATTTAGTTGATAGTTATATACTTTCGTGCATGAAAATGGCTGCCATTGGAGTGGAAACTTCATATTATAGTCGTATTTCTTCTCAAAATAAGAATTGGAGTAGTTTTGTATTAGTAAGTATAGTGACAAATTCTCTATTGATAAGGATGTAAACAAATCAGCTGTCAACAGTCACTTGGTTTGGATCTAAAAATATATTTGGATCGATTTTAAATCAAGTAGGTAATCTAAAAATCAATCTTTAGTGGGTATATGATAATAATTGAAGTATTTTGTTTGTTTCTAATTTGTAAGTATGATTTTATTGTCACTCCGGCATCGTCCGGCTGCTCAAAACGTGAGTTTGTATATCTATATACAAATAAATAAATTTTAATTGAAATGTCTGTTTGTAATTCAATTTAACAGTTGTTCATTAACTGCATAAGAAAGTGTATGGTACTTATATAATGCAAAATTGTAAAAAAATTCTCTGTATGTTTATTGTTGTTAATCTCTGAAACGGCTGGTCCGATTTTGACGGGACTTTCACACACAGAAAGATATTGTTTTAGAGAGAAACTGAAACTGCTACAGTTTCGAATTTTTATTTATTTTAATTATAACAAAAGTTAATAAGGATGAAATTGCGGTGCTATTAAGATATATTTACATGCCCTGTGTTACTCTGGAATAACGTCTTTCAAATCGTGAATTTCTCAAATTAGTACAATAGTTCAAAGTTAACTGTAGATATTAAATATTTAACACATCAGAATCATGTTTTAACGTGAATAATCATATTCTTACTTAATTAATACATATTTACTAGCTACTCGCCCCGGCTACGCACATGTGTACATGTATTATACATATAAACCTTCCTCTTGAATCACTATCTATTAAAAAAATAGCTTCAAAATATGTTGAGTAGTTTTAAAGATTTAAGGATACAGTGACAGTGACTCTACTATGTAATGATATACCTTACATAAAATTGAGTGCAGGCTAGGCTGACTTGTAGATTATACTTGTGAATTAACAGTTTGTGTTCACACAAAAACATAAATATGTAATGCTGAAAACAGAGCTACCGCCAGATTCTCTCCTTCTTGTGGTGAGTCCTCTTTCTGAATGAGTAGTAAAATAACATATATAACTTCAAAAATTTGTTCTGTGTTTGTGTACGCTCATAAAAGGAATTTAGTAAATAGATCCCTCGCAGTTGGTAAATATTTGATTGTTTATTATTTTTAAGAATTATACCGATTAGTTTGTAATAATGGGGTTGACATGTCTGAAAACAAAAACCTCAAAATAAATGTAATCTACATTGTAGTTGTAGTAAATGTAGATTAAAAAAAAAACTTTAAAAGTGCTTATCTTAATTTTATTTTATTTTATAACAATAATTGTATGTTTTTCATTGTTACCCTCAATATAACTTTTTATCAAAAAAACCCTACTAACTACTACAAGCATTCATATTAAAAACATGTTTCTAAAATCTAAATGTGTTTTAATCCATAATATACTACCTGTTGCAAACATTGTTTTGCCATATAAATTAAAATCGCTATTATAAATATGGGTTGATGCTAGAAGGGTGAAAATTTAGAGTTGTATGTATTTTTTAATGACACATAATAAAAAATTTTACCCAAAAATTAAAAATTATGTTAGGGGTGGACAATCTTTATCACTTAGGGGTATGAAAAGTAAGTAGCCGATTCTCAGATGTACTAAATATGCATATAAAATTTCATAAACATCAGTCAAGCCGTTTTGGAGTATGGTAACTAACATTGTGACACAAGAATTTTATATAAGATTAAATAAAGATTATTTCAATTTCTATTACTGGTACTTTCAGAGATTAGCATGTACAAACAAACAAACTCTTCAGCTTTTTATAGTGGCATAGATTATTGTGTAATAATATAATTTGTTTCAGGATGAATACCAATTGTTTCATCTGCAATGTCTCGTCACAGGCATCGCCAAAAACAACTATAAATATATTCGACAACACAGTAAGTATTAAGTTTAGACTCATTTTCAATCCTCTAATAGTGAAAATGTGAATCAAGGAAGAGCTAACAAGAAGCTTTTACTGTAAATATGAGTATGGTTGTTTGTATCGGTCTGGATTTTTTTTATGTATATTATATCAGTTGTCTTGAACCCATAACAAGCTCTGCTTAGCTTGGGACTAGATGGTGCTGTGTGAATTGTCCTGAGATATTATCTATACATATAAATAAAATTGGAGTGGCTGTTTATAATATTGAAATAACCGTTTTTTACTACATGCATATGAATATAATTACGGTAACTACACAAAAATAACATTTATTACAATTTTTGTAATTTTTTTTTGTAAAAATTATTAATTCCTGGATTTAACAGTCCATGAAGCTCGCATAATTTTATATTTTTATTAAATGAGAGGGACTGACTGATAATCAGCGCTGTGCAGCGTACCTGTAAACGTTACGTTCACAGCATCAGCTGAGTCAGCCCCTATTGTCCAGAATACGCAGTGTGAGGTACTACTGTTGCTATTTTATACGTAGTTTAAGAGGTCCTTTTTTTTTTATAGTTTTTGTTCAACAAAAAGTGTACGAACTCAAATGTATACTGTTTGTTGTATCTTTTGTTCTGGCAATAAATATTATTAAGACGTTGTGTGTATTGACCTGGAATAGAATAGAATAGAAAATCTATCATTCAAATAAACTTACATTGAAGCACTTTTGAATAGTCATTACATTTTTTTAATCTACCGCTCGTTCGGAAAGCTGTCTCATCGCAAGAACGAGCAAGAAATTTGCGTGTTGCTCTTTTAAATAATTTTATTATTACTTTACATTTTTAAGTTTAAGTGTGTGAATACAAACCACCAATTAGCACTAATTCATGGAGTATCATTATTATTATTACATGCCTTGTACCTTAATTAATTTTTTTTATTGACTCTTTCAGTGTGGACTACAATCTGGAAGGAAAGTACCTGATATATTAACGGAAGTCATAGAGAAACCAATCAAAGTAGATCATTTACATTCAAATGTCGTCTGCAAGAACTGTTATAAGATGTGTAGCGAGTATGACTCCATCCAGGTCAGGTGAGTGGTATGATGTGGTATGCAAGTGGTACGAACCACCACATTGTAAAATCACATGTGGAATGAACTGTCTGCCTACCTGCTGAGGTTTTCTCTAAAGACTACAGAATGGGGTTTTTCAAGAAGGGTATATTAAGGTTTTTTTTATGGATGATAATGGAATGGCGTATCCACCTGCGCTAACGGTTTACGCTGGCGGGACGGAAGGCCTCTAACAAGGACCGACGATCTGGTCAAGATCGCTGGAAGGCGATGAATCGAGCAGCGCAGGACCGATCGTCGTGGAGATCTTTGGAGGCCTTTTTTCAGCAGTTGACGTCTTACGGACTGGAATGAATGAATGAATGAAGACAGTCATGAATGTTATAAGTTAAAGAGGCTTTTTTAATTGATGATAATGGAATGGTGCACCCTCCTGCGCTAACGATTTACGCTGGCGGGGCACCAGTGGAGATATGGATGATAAGATGCATATGAGGTCAGGTCAGTTAGCCCATCGTGACAAATTCACAAAGAATTTATCACGATGGTTTCCAGGGGGAACCGCATGGAGGTCAACTTGACATGGTACATTGCTAGCAATAAGATCATCAATCCACTTTCCTAACAATTCCCTTTCCCCCCAGTATATTATGACGACCTCGGTGGTCTAGTGGTTTAGCACTCCGCTTTACGTCCGATGGTCGCGGGTTTGATTCCTCGCACGGCACAAACATTTGTATTCATGAGTATGATTGTTTGTATCGGTCTGGGTGTTTTCTATGTATAATATGTATATATTTACGAAAAAAATATATATATTTTTTTCGTAAATATATATATCTATGTATTTGTATCAGTTGTCTAGTACCCATAACACAAGCTTTAGCTAGCTTAACTTGGGTCTATATGGCGCTGTGTGAATTGTATTGAGATTATTATTATTATTATTATATTAAGGTTTCTTAAGGGTCAGCAACGAGCACGTGACACGGTAACCATTTACCATCAAATGGGCCGTACACTTGTTAACCACCAATGTGGTATAAAAAGAATCACCTTCCAGTAATGGTATTTCCGAACCGATACGATATTGAAACCTTCAATAAGAGCCTATTTCTTTTTAAAACGCAACTATCTCGGGTATCAGGGGTCGGCCCTGTGCTATAAAAAAAATGCTTGCATAAATAGATAGACATATAGGTAATGGGTATTTAGTACATAGAGGTTTCTATGTTGATTGTCCCATGCCCAATCCTTGTTAATGTATATATACTCAGAACTAATACTGTTGGCCACAGCTGGTACAGACTTTAGGGATCAAGTGCAGATGGCGCTCCAAACCGCGGAAGGACTTATGGAACGTCTGATGGGTACGATTTTAGTCTAAGGGCATCGCTAGGGGTTCGAGCCTCGGCTCAGGTAACTTCGATCACTTCGTTTAAATTGGACGGGGTATCGATCGGAGGTGGGTATTTAGAAGAGCAACACGCAAGTTTCTTGCTCATTCTTCTTGTGATGAGTCTGCGGTCTGAATGAGTGGTAGAATAAAAAAATAGGATTATTCAAAAGTGCTTATTTTAAGTATATTTGAATACAGATTATTTCATAAAATGAATATTATTATTTTCAGATTAAATGTAATAAAATCAAATTTACTAAAAGATTTCAAGAATACACTGGAGAAAGTTGACCTAGCATATGACACGTATGGAAATTCACAAATCTCGATCAGACAACCCAAAGTGAAATATGAAGAGAGGAGAATTATTGTCCCAGCATCCAAGCTTCAGCCGTTACCGGCCGATTTCGTTTTAGATGTTAGCAAAATGGCGTCAGTTTCGAAATGTCTACCTAACAGGCTGAAGGTAACCTAACCTAACCTAACAGGCTGAAGTTATTTTATTTTTTTACAGTTAAGACGACGACGCTGGTCCAGTTCCGGAGACAATTAAATTTCCACCGTAAAGAGACAAATTATATTTAACATTGTCCCAATTTTCTTTTCTTTAATATAAATAAAATTCTGTTAACATGATAATTCATTGCATTACGTAGTTATATATCATTTTCTATTTAGTTTACTTTTTATTATATAACCTTACCTAGCTATCTAGCGTATATTGAATGCGTCTATATAATTTAGCTTTTAGGCATACATAGTGTTGGATTACAATCCAGTTCTGTACCGAACTACTCGCTACTATTATATTATTATATTGACTGTAATCTGTTTTGTATGCTAATAAATAAATAAATAAATAAATTAGAGTCAAATGATAGGGGTATGTAATAATAATAATAATAAATCCATTTATTTCCAACATCAGTATAGTAATATAGTTACAGATTTATACATATTTATTATAATTGGCAATAGGGACAAACTCAGCTATTGCTGGACTGATGGGCGTCCAGCGCTGGTATTCAGTTTGTACCTCCGCAGGCGTACCTAATCACACGTGCTAGATGACCATACCATAACATAATGAAATAAAAATTTAACAAATTAATACATAAATAATAATATCCATACGGGTACACACGTGACATGTGACGTCTATCTAATATAATTTTCCTTAGAGAATTTTTAAATTTTAGCGGTATTGTGTGGTTTTTTTAATGGATGATAATGGAATGGTGCACGCATTTAATCCAATGATTTACTGTAGTATTTTTAATATAAATGTGCATTTTACAATATATATATTTTATATTGATGAATCATTTGAAATATATTTATTAAAATGAGTAATTTAGTTTATGATATGATATTTGAAGAAGATTTAAAAATACTGCAATGTCGGAAATTTTTCTGGAGCGTCTGCAAAAAGTTGAATGGCGGTGACATCCAGCTAATTCTGGTGCTGAATCTTTTAAAATAAAAAAATCAAAATTAAATAACGATATATTTCAAAACATCATCATCAAAAAAATCAAAATTAAATAACTGTTTGGGAAACTACTCTGCTACCAAAATGTTAGGGAAACGTCAGTCATTTACCTTTATGGTTCCGCGGATTTCTTGGGCTTCAGGGTCTCGAAGGTATCTTCGCTAGCTTTCCAGCTTCACAGTAGGTTAACACAGTTCTAATTTATTTTAATTCACAACACAATGCGCGCGCGCGTCAAGGCCGCTGTACAGTCGGTTTGTTACTAGTTAGGGAGGGGAAGGGAACGCGCGGGAACAGAAAACTAACGGACTCTAATATAATATAATATCTCTGCTTACGATGATACAGGGTAGATTTTGAACAATAATAATAACAAGATATAATCGTTAGATCACTTTGTCCAAGTAACACTATACATGATTCAATATTCTTAAGATATTATGTATTCATTCAAAATTGAAAAAAAAAAAAATTATTAATTAAAAAAAAAAATATTTCCCCTTAAGTAGTGAAATGGACTTCCGCAAAATATAATTTAAAGTCGTTTAAAATTTTTCTTTACAGGCTTTAACGACTGAATCGTCAACAGTAAACCTCAGAGTCACCGTCGGATCGTCTGTCCTCACGCAGTCCGTCAAAACCGTTATGAGCCCAATAATTAAGGAGATATCATCAGCGAAACCAACAGACACGTCGAACGTCATCGTGACAATGTTGCCAACGTTAAATCAAAACGTAGAGAAAATTAACAGCACCAAAAATCCAGTGTTAAGTTTTAATATTAACTCGTTACCGAAAGATTATTTAACTTCAGCCGTGCTGACGAAAATCAGTGGTAACGATAAGGAAACAAATAATTATGTTATAGAAGAAAATACAGATGGACAATCTATGGAAATTGATGAAGGTACTGTCACGATTGACTTCTTTACAGTTCGTAGCGGTGGGTGCAAACATTCGTATTCTTGAGTACGATTGTTTGTATCGGCGTGAGTGTTTTGTATGTATAATATGTGCTAGCTTTTGCCCGCGGCTTCGCTCGCGTTAATTTATCCCCTCAGGGGTGGAATTTGTCAAAATCCTTTCTTAGGGGATGCCTACGTCGTAGTAGCTTTATGCATGCAAAGTCTCAGCCCGACCGGTTTAAAATTTACAAAGTTTCATACAAACTTCCATCACCTATTTTATCCCCTTGGGGGTAGAATTAATCAAAATCCTTTCTTAGCGGATGCCTACGTCATAACATCTACCTGCATGCCAAATTTCAGCCCGATCCGTCCAGTGGTTTGGGCTGTGCGTTGATAGATCACTATGTCAGCTTTGAGTTATATATATTTTGATTTACAAAAAAACGAAGTATTTATACCAGTTGTCTAGTACCCATAACACAAGCTTTGCTTACCATGGGACTAGATGGCACTGTGTTAATTGTCCAGAGTTGTTTATTTAGGTATAATATGTATGTATTTACTCTGTGAGTTTGTATCCTTTTGATCTATCGAGTTGAGTTTCTTGTCAGTTCTTCTCATCTCGAAATCATTCCGAACTGACGGTAGATTTGACATATCATAAGAGTCTGTAATAGACCTACATAGATAAAGATATTTTGAATTTGAATTTGAATCTTGTAAAATGAATATTTTGTATTAATGTAAACGATTATTCTAGTATTATTTAGTATTTTCCCTCCATTGATTTAGCTCAGAATGACAAATTTAAAATTAGAGTATTCTGTGTTCTTTATTTTTAAGTTATAAAATACATGTAGCAGAGCTTGCATTATTATCATTACATAGTATAAAACAAAGTCACTGTAGCTGTCTGTCCGTCCCTATGGTATGCTTAAATCTTTAAACTACGCAACGGATTTTGACAATAGTTAGAGCAGTGATTTTTTTCAATGGCAAAAATTCGTTCTAGTAGCAAAAAAACTTGTATAGTAGGTAGGTAGGTAGTATGTTAAAAAGCTCCGTAACCATAACCGAAACTATCGGATATCCGATATAAAAAATATCCGTAACCGTAACTGAATCCGAAATAAAAGTTTCTGATAATATCGGATAGGGGCGGAGCCTAATTGAGACACGTTATGTAACCATTTTATTACCTATATGTATTTTACTTTTGAAATTCCTTAAAAAAATTATATTCGTAACCGAAATTATCCGAAACTAACGGATAATTCGGAATAATATCATATCCGCATCCGTATCCGGTATAATAATCATTCCTATATCCGAAACCTATCCGTATCTGATATTTCATATCCATAACATCCCTGATTAGAACAGAATACAATAATTAGACGGGACAGTCGTGGTAAATATTTAAGTAAAAGAAAGTTTTTGAAGTAAAAGAACATCAAAGCAAATTGTCTATTACTCGACTTTATATTATTTGTTATAGATCATCACTACATAGTATAAAACAAAGTCGCTGTCGCTGTCTGTCCCTATGTATGCTTAAATCTTTAAAACTACGCACCGGATTTTGAAGCGGTTTTTTTTAATAGATGACTGATTCAAGAGAAAGGTTTATATATATAATACATGTACATTGTACACCCATGCGAAGTCGGGGCGAGTAGCTAATACACTAATAAATTACCACATTTAACGTCTTTGACACTGCTACAAAAAGAAATTGTAATGTTTTAAAAATATATTATTTGTCATGTTGTAGACTGCTCGTTAGTTGTGCCGGTCACCACAGATGACAGTGGGAAGTTGGTGTTTGAAATTGATGCACTAAAGGTACGTATAATATTGTTATTAAGTAATTCTTTTATCTATATATATAAATAAAATTGGAGTGTCTGTTTGTAATATTGAAATAACCGTTTTTTACTACAAGCATGTGAATATAAATACCAAAATAACATTTTTTACAATTTTTATGTAGAGAGATTAGCCGGAACAAACAGACAGATAGTGTCTGTTTGATGATTTGTCGATTTTGATGGGACTTTTTTTGGCAGGTAGTTGATGTAATAAGGGGTAACTTAGGCTACTTTCATTGTAGAAAAATAAATTTAATTTCAGTCGTGGGTATATAATAAAATCGTAAATCCGTTTACCTGTTTATGTTAAGTGCGTAAATACGGTTGGAGGAATTAATAATAATAACCCTGGACAATTAACACAGCGCCATCTAGTCTCAAGTTAAGCAGAGTTTGTGTTATGGGTACTAGACAACTGATATAAATATTTTTTTTAGTAAATTCATACATAATATACATAGAAAACACTCGGACCAATCAAAAACAATCTCGGTGGCCTAGCAATTTAGTACATCACATTACTTCGATGGTCGCGGGTTTGATTCCTCGCACGTGTAAACATTTGTTCATGAGTATGTTTGTTTGTATCTCTCTGGGTGTTTTCTATGTAAATTATGTATGTATTTACAAAAAAAAATAAGGATTTACATCAGTTATCTAGTATCCATAACACAGGCTGTGCCTAGCTTGGGATTAGATGGTCAAGATCGCTGGAAGGCGTTGGATGCGAGTAGCACAGGACCGATCGTCGTGGAAATATTTGGGGGAGGCCTTTGTTCAGCAGTAATTGTCTTCCGGGCTGAGATTATGATGATGATTTACAAATTATGTATATTTAACACAAAAAAATATAAATAACCAAATTCTTATTCTATTTGATTACAGAACGCAAAAGAGAAGACAAAATCGAATTTTTTCGATATGGGGCTACTACTCTCGGACCCCAATGAGACCCCACAACCAGACGAGAAGGACAAGTTCATACTGGACAAGCTACACGTACTTAAAACTGATGATGAAGCCGATGGTGAACGTGAGTTTTTTTATAATCTAACCTAATCAGAAATAATTTATTAATGTAGGACATTTTAAGACGACCTCGGTGGTCCAGCGGTCTAGTGCACCGCTTTACGACCGATGGTCGCGGGTTCGATTCCTCGCACGGCACAAACATTTTTATTCATGAGGTCTGGGTGTTTTCCATATATATTATGTATGTATTTATAAAAAAAATCTATGTGTCTAGTACCCATAACACAAGCTTTAGCTAGCTTATCTTGGGTCTAGATGGCGCTGTGTGAATTGTCCTAAGATTATTATTATTATTATTTTAGCTGTTTATGAACGTAAAATTTTTAATATTAATATTTTTTCCCAACCGTCCAGTTCAGTATACAGATTGTACTGATCTGGCAAGGAATTCAACTTTTTTTTTTTGGTAGTTAGGTATCTGCAATCAGTATAAGCAGGTGAGTTGTTGGTAGTAGGCAAATATTCTCTTTAATTATCCTTGAGCTGGAGGAAAGATTTCTAGCTAGCTGAAACATGGGGACCTTGTCAAAGGAATTCAACTGAATTACTTTTTTTTATAGCCAGTTTAAGTTTATGATTATCATATAGTTATAAAAAATAAAATGACAAATAACACGTATTGGTAGACATTATTTGATTGTAAAATAACGCAAAAGAGTGATCGACGTCAAAATATTATAAACATTGAGGTTATATGCTACAACAATAGTCCCATTTGATGATAATAATAATCATGACCATCATCAGACGAGCTGGACAAGTTCATACTGGACAAGTCTACAGATAATAATAAATATAAATATTTGTTCTCGCCATTTTTAAACCGATTGACTGGTATGGTACCATTTCCCCTATCTCCATCCATCATTCTACGAGCAGTACATAAACCGAGGTCACCCGATTGGACTGCTAATTTATTAATGCTCCGACATTTTAAACGAATTCCTCGGTTTCACCAGTTTTAAAATTCAATATAAAATATAGCCCATGTGTCATTCTGATGTATGAGCTATATTACTGTAAAGTTTCATCAGAATCCGTTCAGTATTTTTTGCGTGAAAGAGTAACAAACATCTATACTTACAAACTTTTGCGTGTATTATTTGAAAAGAATATCGGTCATGGGTTCTTCTCATCTATATATAATATGTTAGATTTGACATATCATAAGAGTCTGTAATAGACCTACATGAATAAAGATATTTTGAATTGAATTGATTTTGAATATCATATTGATATGTAGAAATGTCATGTACATAATAATACATCGACAACAATTAGATGTTTTTTTTTTTAAATTGTCTCATTGATAGCAGAAACTTTGGTGATGGAAGACGAAGATGGTACGACCATCATCCGCATGGCGGCCGGACAGCGCGTGTTGTACGATGGCACGAAGTTCGTGGTCGCTGATGAGGATGAACAGCCGCACGACGGTCTCGAAGTAACAGACAGTCAAGGTATACATATATTTTAAACAGGGCTATGCGAGACAGTGCCCAGGGCCCTCAAGCTCAGGGAGCCCTCGAACCCATACCAGAAAATCTCAATCGATCTGAACTTTTGAAAATTTCTCCCATTTTCAAAATAAATATGACAGATTGCAACCCGACTAATCATGGCAACTCAGTTCAGAGAAATTTGAAAGTTATACCTTCGGAGTTACCCTAAATTCTTTCTGTGGGTTGGCAGTGTTGTCAATTTGACAGATATGTACGTTTTAGTAAAACTGTAATCTAGGGTCCCATTTTTTTGTTTGCCCCAGGGCCCTTGGTTACCTAACTACGCCACTGATTGTAAATTCGACTAATTTAATTAATTATTTTTTTAATTATAACACTTTATTGTATGAACAAATTTCAAAACAAAAAAAAACTAAGTACAAAAGGCGGTCTTATCGCTAATGCAATCTCTTACAGACAAACTTTGGAAAGAGAGTAGGTATTTACAAAAAAAAAAAAATAGAGTAGGTGGCGCATTAGTGGAAACATAAAAATTGTATACACTTAAATTATAGTACATACACAAATTTACATACATATGAATACATAATAATATAATATAATAATATAGTATACATCAAATAATATACATATAAACCATAACATCATACTAGTTAAAATGTCACAGGTAAACAACAGTGTAGAAGAAGGAAACATATTTACAAAGAGAGAAAATAGGATTTGACTAGATGCTTAAAAATGGCTGGGGCTAATTTAGTGATAAGGCCACCTTTTGGCACTTGAAGTTACAGGGTATTTTTATTAGAATAGAATAGAAATAATCAGTTTTGAAATAAACTTAATTTTATCTTCCTTATGAAGGAAGACTACTGGCCGAAGGGTGTGGTGTACCGGCGCTACCGTGGCAGGTTGCCGTGGTCAGTGCCGTGACCACAGAATCAATTTCAATATATTACTTTTATAATATTATATCATATGTATGTTCGTCTATAAGGTATTTATGACTAGCAGTACACGCGACTTCGTCCGCGTAGAATTTAACAAAAAAGTTTGAGAATTTTTCTAAAATAAAAGTAGCTTCAGCTACCTGCCAAAAAAAGTCCGGACAAAATCGGTCCAGCTATTTCAGAGATTAGCCGGAACAAACAGACAGACAGACAAAAATTGTAAAAAATGTTATTTTGGTGTATGTACCATATTTATATTCATAAGCATGTAGTAAAAAATGATTATTTCGACATAATTGCTTGACAGCTGATATAGGCAAGAGTGAGATATCCACGCAAATATATTTATTCAAAAGTCGACTTTATAGGTTTTGGATGTGTATGTAATATATATATATATATATATTTTTTTTCTAATTTCAGACTCAAATGAGGAGTCCCAAATAGAGTTGCAGGTGTCTGGTGATGAGGAAACAGCCAACGCGATTATAGCCGCCGCGCGGGAACAAGGTCATATCATTGTTCTTTTCTGTTCTGTTCTCTAACTTCAATTCTGACCTGCAGAGCTATACTGTAAGCGTCAGGAGGAAAGGGGATGGTTAATAATGTAGACTACTTATTTTACTGCTAGCAATGTACAAAAACAATGGGCAGGGCACATAGCTCGTAGGACAGATGGCCGTTGGGGCAGTAAAGTCCTCGAGTGACGACCACGGACCGGAAGACGCAGCGTGGGAAGGCCTCCAGCAAGGTGGACCGACGATCTGGTCAAGATCGCGGGAAGGCATTGGATGCGAGCAGCGCAGGACCGATCGTCGTGGAGATCTTTGGGGGAGGCCTATGTCCAGCAGTGGACGTATTTTTTTTTTTTATCTTCCGGGCTGCGATGATGATGATGAATGTACCATGTCAGGTCGAACTCCACGCGTGGCGCGCTCCACTTCCTGGGAACCATCGTGATAAATTCTTGGTAAATTTGTCACGATTGGCAAGTATTATCATCAATCAAAAATTCTCTATTACCAACGATTATCTCATGTCCGAAGTAAGGCACGGTGCTAAATGGTCGAGGTCCGTTAAATGATCACAGAGTTATTAGTCACAATGGGACAAGTGACCTGACCTTATGCTCATCTTATCATCCTCCACTGGTGCCCCGCCAGCGTAAACCGTTAGCGCAGAAGAGTGCATCATTCCATTATAAATTCCCTATTACCAACAATTATCTCCTCCTTCAGTCGAAGTAAGATAGTCTGCTAAATCGTCAATCGTTTTATTTACAAAAAAAAAAGTAGTACCCATAACACAAGCTTTAGCTAGCTTATCTTGGGTCTAGGTGGCGCTGTGTGAATTGTCCTGAGATTATTATTATTATTATTATACATGAACATGAAACATACATAAAATCATGAATGCAAATGTCTGTCCCGTGCGAGAAATCGAACCCGCAACCATCGGAAGTGAAGCTGTGTGCTAAACAGCTAGACCATCGAGGCCATCTTGACTTTAAAGTTCTAAATTTTACGCTTCAGGTGGTGCATTCATAAAGGTGGAGTCTGGTGAGATGTATAGAGTGAAGTCAGTTCAGAGCAAGCCTGATACTGCTGACGATGATGATATGTTGGTGAGTGTACTATCACTTACTAGCTGTGCCCACTCAAGATGGGTGATGATATTAGGGTAGTGGCAGGAGTAATGTGGAACAGAGTAGCTCAAGAAAGAGAAGAATGGAAACGATTGGAGGAGACCTTTGGTGATTGGCAAACAGATCTGAAGAAATTAAAAAAGATTCAAGTAATAGTATAATTTTTTCGATTCTAAGTTTTAAAGTATTATGTTTGTTTTAAAATAATGTATAAGTTGATCTGAATGAAGGCTATAATAATAATAAAGCTGTGGCCGCGGTTTTTCCCGCGTGGAATACCACCAACATTTACAAAATTGACTCCTTACAAGTTGACCAGTATCATCACGAAACTCTGGCTTCTTATGATGCACTTGAATGAATATTTCTTCTTAAAAATATATTTTGTGGTTTCCGTAATAAACAAACTAATGGAAGGGTGCCAAGTGTTGACAGAAACATTACAAATGTTAGGTACATTGCAGACTTAATGCCTGACTGCATTATCTACCAGTCAACAGTCGTGTTGATTAGAGATGTGCTAACTCGTAATAAACATGACTCGAGTTAACTCGAGTTGACTCTAGTTACCTGGAATAAACATTTTTCGTTGTTTTTTTTTATTTTTCGAATAAATCTAATGTTTTTGGCCGCAGCTAGCCTTGAAAGCTTCACCGAACCATAGCGGGCGAGTAGAAATGGTACTTCAAAGCCGCGGAAGGACTTATGGAACCCTAATCATTTTAATAAGATTATATGAATCATATTAATGATAACATAACCGGACGAATATGCAAAAAAATTAATAATAACGATCTCGAATCAATATTGAAACATTTATGACGAGTGAAAATTGTATGATATGAAATGATTATGCACTCGCTCTTTTACTTTATACGTTCATTTACCAGTTGAATTTTTCAAACCCGAGTTGGGAGAATTCAACTCGAGTTAACTCGAGTTGACACATCTTTAGTGTTGATTTTGTGTGTGTTTGTATTATTTATGTATATGTATTAAGTGTGTATATATTTAATTTCCAGATACAAACAATGGTGGAAGAAGTGAATGGCCAGTACAAATGTTTGCTGTGCGCGAATAACAAAGACACTGGTAGGAAATCTATACTAATATTAAGAGTTTGTTTGTACGCTCTAATCTCAGGAACTACTAGTTCGAATTGAAAAATTATTCTTGTGTTGGATAGACCATTTGTCGAGGAAGGCTTTAAGCTATATAACATTACGCTACGACCAATAGGAGCGGAGATGTAATGAAAAATATTGCAAAAGGTGGGGAAATGAAAAGCAGACGAAGTTGCGCGGGTCAGCTAGTAGATTATATGAAGATACCTAAACAGACGACTTTTTACAGTCTAAAGTGTTTTTACAGTCGTCAAAAATTATTAATTTTTGAGATATTATAATGTAAATAGTTTTACATAGGATCTTTTTTGCACCAGTTATTACTCAATGAATACCACTGTCAAGGCCCTAAGGGATCTTCAATAGAAGCTGACTGTAGGTTTAAATATAATGTATTGCTAATATGAATTTATAAATTAATCGAATAAGAATGACGACGCGCGTCCTTGAAGCCTCTCGTGATGGCGTTCGCGTGAAGAGATCGCCGACCGACCACTGTGATGTGTTCCATCTGGTCCTACGGCTTTACTGCTTTTCATACTTCGCACAGCTTGTTTTACTTCTTCCATTCTTACTTCTCTGACTAAACCCACATTCACTCTTTCCTCTCCTATCGATTTATTCCATGAATTTTCTTCATTCATTAAGTTTTCAAAGTAATTTTTCCATCGATCTTTTATATCATCTTCTTTCATTAGAACCTTTCCTTTATCATCTTTTATACATTTTACATATACTCTATCGTTTGTATTCTTATCTCTCATTTTTGCTAGTCGAAAGAGCTGCTTTTGGCCTTCGGAAGTATCTAATGAGGCGTAGAGTCTATCTTGGAATTCGCAACCGCCGTTGCCGTTGCAACAGCTTTCTTTGCCCTCTTTTTGCATCCTAAATACACTTCCTTTTTTTTCGTCTTTTGTATTATTCTCTTTACAGCTCTTTTGCCATTCTTTAAACGCTCTTATCTTCTCTTTCAGTATTTGTTGCACACTTTCATTCCACCACCAAGTATCTTTCTCTATCATTTTCGTCCCTTTTGTTTCGCCAACAATATGTTTTGCTATACCTCTCATTCCATTAGCTATTACATTCCAACATTCGTTAATAGATTTTCCTTCCATATTATTCATTTCTATCATCATATCATTCAGTTGTTCCCTAAATTTCATTGCATTCTCATCCCTTTCGAGCATGTGCCATCTTATTTTTGGGGGCGGTCGGTTTTTTTTTTATTATACTGAACCCTAATTTTTGTATCAAGTACTAGTTAGTCTATGTTGTGATATCAGATCCTCACCCGGTAGGACCTTACAGTCTCTGACACAATTGATTTTATTTCTCCTGAGTAAGAAATAATCAATCTGTGTCTTATGGTGTCCACTTGTGTAGGTAATTAAATGATCCTGTTTCTTTTTAAACCTTGTATTGGTGATGGCCAAGTCAAAAGCGGAAGCTGCCTTTAGTCTCTCCTTCGTGGTTGCGATTTCCAAATCCCCATTTTCCATGCATTCTCGTATAATCTTCCCACATGCCCATTAAAGTCATCCCTTATATAAATATCTTCTGTACTGGCAATGTCCATCATTACAGTATCGAATTCCTCCCAAAACTTTTCTCTCATTCTATCGTCACAACCGGCCTGAGGAGCATATACACTAACCACATTAACGATTATGTTCTGTAACATTATTTTTATTGCTATTACTCTATCACTCACTCTTTTTACATTCATCACACTTTGCTTTAAATTACTATCTAACACAATTCCGACTCCGTTTCGTTTTCCATCACTTTCACAGTAATAAAACTTATATCCTTCACCTATTTCTCTAGCTTTTGACCCTTTCCATTTAGTTTCCTGTAAACAGCACATTTATTCGTCTTCTTTTTAGTACATCCGGTAGTTCTCTTCCTCTTCCAGTCATCGTGCCTACATTCCAACTTGCATACCTTAGTCTGACATCCTGAGTTTCCCGAATTTGCCTCATGTCGCATCCATACGGGATGATGCGACAACCCTGACTCATTTCCCACAGGAGCCGGGTGCTGGCTCTGCGCGTCGCCTCTGGGGTACGCCCTAGCCCTTACTCGCATCGTATTCATATTTTCCATACTGTAAAGTTTTTTGGCATAAGTGTTTTACGGCCGGCCGCATGTTTGACATCAACCCTTCTTGGGAACGTTATTGTTGGTTGTTTAACGCTAAGGCGAAACACGTGTTACAATATCGGTGTAGACTCAATAACGGTCGGAATATGATCTTCATTAGAGAAGGTCGTAACGGTAGTCATGTTTCCACATGGAGTATTTGTGGTCTCACAGATGCTAATTGTAGCGGAATGTCGATGGATATTGATAGACTTCGGCAGCACGGTCCCGAGGACTGGTGTGTTAGAGGTGAGACGGTATAATGCAGCGAGTGTGGTGGTGTCCTCAGATTGCGTGTTGCTGGATGGTGAGGTGATGATGCAGCACCTGAGGCAGCAGCACGCGGCGCGGCTGTACATCTGCCGCGAGTGCGGGCGGGTGCTGCGGCGGCGCGCGCACTACTCCGCGCACCTCGGTCCGTACACCACACTACACCACACTACACCACACTACACCACACTACACCACACTACACCACACTACACCACACTACACCACACTACACCACACCACACTACACCACACTACACCACACTACACCCCCCACACCACACCCCCCACACCACACCACACCACACCACACTCTTCACACCACACCACACCACACCACACCCCCCACACCACACCACACCACACCACACTCCTCACACCACACCACACCCCCCACACCACACCACACCACACCACACCACACCACACCACACCACACCACACCACACTACACCACACCACACCACACTACACCACACTACACCACACTACACCACACTACACCCCACTACACCACACTACACCACACAACACCACACACACACACACACCACACCACACCACACACACACACACACCACACCCACACCCACACACACACACACCCACACACACCACACACACCACACCCACACCCACACCACACCCACACCACACCCACACCCACACCCACACCACCACACCCACACACCCACACACCACACCCACACACCACACCCACACCCACACCCACACCACACCCACACACACCACACCCACACACACCCACACACCACACCCCACACACCACACCCACACCACCACACACCACACCACACCCCCACACACACCACACACACCCCTCACACACACCACACCCCTCACACACCACACCACACCACACACACCACACACACACCTCACACACACACACACACCCCTCACACCACACCACACCACACCACACCACACCACACCACACCACACCACACCCCCCACACCACACCACACCACACCACACCACACTCCTCACACCACACCACACCACACCACACCCCTCACACCACACCACACCACACCACACCACACCACACCCACCACACCACACCCCCCACACCACACCACACCACACCACACCACACTCCTCACACTACACCACACTACGTTACGTTATACTACATTACGTGTCACACTACACGCTACTCCACGCTACATTACACTATGTGTCTCTGTACTTCACTAGATCACGCTACGCTACACTACGTCTAGCTACATTACAAAACGCCACGCTACAATAAACTACGTTTCGCTACACTTCATTAAGTCACACTACACTTCATTAAGTAACGTTACACTTCACTAGGTAACGTTTCACTACACTACGTCACACTAATGTTATAAGTCAATCCATCTTCACTATATAATTTCGAAATTATTCCACAATAAATATTGAACACTAATATGTATTTACAAACTTTACTTTATAAAATTACACTTGCGTTGCGATTGTAGGTGTTAAGACCTTTTTGAATGTATTATAATAAGTTAATAATGAAATAAATATATGACATATACAGCGGAGCACGCGGCGGGTGGTGCGGGCGGTGCGGACGGTGGTGGCGGCGCGGTGCGGGTTCGAGTCCCGGGCGGGGGCGCGGCCAGCAGTGCCGGCCCGGGCGGCCACACCTGCCACCTCTGCGGGAAGACCTTCGCCTCCAAGTACACGCACCAGGCGCATCTCAAGACGCACCAGGTCGCCGTCCACCTGCACCGATCTGGTTTTATAATACGACACACTTCATTGCGGGAATCTTTATTTGTTATAAGATTTTTTGCTTCCTAATGAGGTTTCCATCTAACTTTAACAGCATTAACGGCCTTTGTAGTCGTAGCAGCATGCAGCCGCCCCGATCTTATCTGGTCTTCGACAGACGAAGAATAGAATAGAATAGAAGATTCTTTACTCAAATAAAACTTAATTACTACCGCTCGTTCGGAAAGCTGTCTCATCACAAGAAGAACGAGCGAGAAACTTGTGTGTTACTCGTTTAAATAATCCTTGTAAGTTTACATTTACAAGTCGAAACGTGTGAATACAAACTATCAACCAGCACTATTTTTTTTGGGTCAAATATAAATATACAATAAGATTAAATCAGTCGTAGTGATAAGAGCAGACCAGTCCCTATAAGCAGCACTCGTTCACGAGTATGACGAATGAGCCAGCCATCAATGCGCTCGACCATATTTTAGGTCAAGCGAAGTGTCATTGTGCCTGATTATAGTACCAGATAAAAACATACGGCCTATACCAAGCTTTTGAAGTGTCTGGAATATAATGGCTTCATACCCACTTTCTGCAAGGCCATCACAGCAATCCTATTTTCCTTAACATCCCATTCCATTTTGTAATTTGATAATGAACACGGAAAAAATATGTGAAATGGCGCAAAATCGAAAGTTTTTAAAATAATATACGTATACCAAATTAAAAAAATAAAAATTCTATGTAACACACGAGACTTTGTTCGCGTGGAATTTAATTTACATTTTGTAAAATAAAAGTAGTCTAAGTTACTCTTTATTACATAAGCTACCTGCCAAAAAATGTCCCGTCAAAATAAGGACAGCCATTTCAGAGATTAGCCGGAACAAAGAAACAGACCAGACAGACAGACAAAACTTGTAAAAAAAATATTTTGGTGTATGCACCGTATTTATATTCATATGCATTTAGTAAAAAACGGTTATTTCAATATTACAAACAGACACTCCAATTTTATTTATATGTATAGATTATTAATGGCCAGATTAGTTATACATATAATAGTTTATAAATAATTAATTATGAATAGAATAGAATAGAAAATCATTTATTCAAATAAACTTACATTGAAGCACTTTTGAATAGTCATTACATTTTTTTAATCTACCGCTCGTTCGGAAAGCTGTCTCATCACAAGAAGAACGAGCAAGAAACTTGCGTGTTGCTCTTTTAAATAATTTTATTGTTACTTTACATTTTTAAGTTGAAGTGTGTGAATACAAACCACCAATTAGCACTAATTCAATTAAATACTCAAATAGAAAAAATATTGAATATATAACCAACTGGTTAAACAATTAATGAGAGGAAATCAGTCATAGTGATTAGAGCAGATATGTTATTCGTTCACAGGACAGACCGCGGCCGTTCAAATGTAAGGAGTGCGATAAGAGTTTCCTGACTCAACAAAACCTCACTCAGCACGAGAAGACGCATCTTGGCATCAAAGATTTCATCTGCAAAATTTGTGGTGAGTTACAATTTAGACGGCCCCGATGGTTTTGTAGTTTAACACACCTTTTTAGTTTTAACGGCCGCAAGTTCGAATCTTCTACTGTTTAAACATTTATATTTAATGTGTTTCTCTGAAGCTGATTGTGTTTTATACTAGCTATGCTCGCGACTCCATTCGCGTGTTATAGAGATTTTGACCAAATAAAGAAAAAATATTCAAAGTTATAGCTTAAAAATGGCAAGATTTATATAAATAGAGGTTGAGAGTTTGTACTCATTTTTATTTTATTTAACCCCTTAAGTCTAACATTTTAACGAATCTTGAATGTCATATGTATTTATATTTAAACAATATGAGCCAACAACAGACAGACAGATGATGACAGATGACAGAACAAAATGATTACCAAGCTCCTCGCTTTAAAAATTACGATATTTCTATACAAATTTTCATCTCCCCTTTCAACCCTTTACAACCCTTTTTTCGCATTAAAGAGTAGGCTATTTCCTTTCAGGGTCTAGACTATCTGTGTACCAAATTTATTTAAATGATCCAGTAGTTTTGGCCTGAAAGCGAGACCAAGCAGAGTTAAGGATATATTTATTAATAGTAATTCTTAAATACGAGTATATTTGGCAAGCGGGTACCGTGAGACTCGTACCCACTAAAAATCTCCAAGGTATCCTTACATTGAAGCGCCTTTTGTCGGAGTCACGGGATCGAGTGTCATAACACCGGGGGGCAAGACCAGGGGTAACACCGGGGATAACACCGGGGGACAAGACCTAGATAATACCGAGGGGGGCAAGACCGGGGATAACATCGGGGGGCAAGACCGGGGGTAACATCGGGGGGCAAGACCGGGTGTAACACCGGGGGGCAAGACCGGGGGTAACACCGGGTGACAAGACCTAGGTAACACCGAGGGGGGGCAAGACCGGGGATAACATCGGGGGGCAAGACCGGGGGTAACACCGGGTGACAAGACCTAGGTAACACCGAGGGGGGCAAGACCGGGGATAACATCGGGTGTAACACCGGGGGACAAGACCTAGATAATACCGAGGGGGGCAAGACCGGGGATAACATCGGGGGGCAAGACCGGGGGTAACATCGGGGGGCAAGACCGGGTGTAACACCGGGGGGCAAGACCTAGGTAACACCGAGGGGGAAAGATCGGGGATAACATCGGGAGTAACACCGGGGGACAAGACCTAGGTACACCGAGGGGGGCAAGACCGGGGATAACATCGGGTGTAACACCGGGGGACAAGACCTAGATAACACCGAGGGGGGCAAGACTGGAGATAACATCGGGGGTAACACCGGGGGACAAGACCTAGATAACACCGAGGGGGGCAAGACCGGGGATAACATCGGGGGCAAGACCAGGGGTAACACCGGGTGACAAGACCTAGGTAACACCGAGGGGGGGGGCAAGACCGGGTGTAACACCGGGGGGCAAGACAGGGGGTAACACCGGGGGGGGGGGGGGGCAAGTTCGAGGGGAGCCGCGCGCCAACTTCTCGGGCTTTTCTTGGAGGTGGGTCCGACCCGGCGGTCACACCTTAAGTCCTTACGACCATCGGAGACGCAAGTGTGTGGCTCTCCACCTCGGATCGCCGAGAATGGACTACCCTATTGGGTGTCCATTCCATCTGGCCGACTCGGGCGACTGGGGGCTTTTTTACCTTAGGTAGATGGGGACCACTCCTTTGCCCCCACTCTATGGTCTGCCGATCGACCTTTGGAGGCGCACACCACACACACTTCGGGCTCCGCTCGATATGATGTGATTTAAGAGAAGGCCAAGGTCTACGAGGAGGAGTAAGGCTCGGTCGTGTGTCGGCAGGCAAGGCGTTCGCCAGCCAACACAACCTGGAGGTGCACGGCGTCACTCACAGCGGACGGCGGCCCTTCGTGTGCTCCGTCTGCGGGAAGGGGTTCGCCAGGAGACCAGAGCTCAGCGACCACGCACGAGTACACACAGGTACGACGCGACCCCGTCCGCGCACGGCACCACCTCCACCTACAAACCTCATTGTATCACGAATTACATTAATAAAATTGGGTTCGCCAGGATTATACACAAACTCAGCGACCACGCACGATATATTACAGGTACGACGCGAGTCCGCGCAAAACTGGTGTCTTTCATCCACCTCCCCTCATTGGATCTACGAGTGGTTGTTCGCCAGGAGATTCTGATATTCAGCGACCACGTTTGAAACGAGTCACACAGGTACGACGCGACCCCGTCCGCGCACGGGGACACCTCCACCTCGACCTCCACCTCATTGTATCACGAGGGGTTCGCCGCGCCACAACTCAGCGACCACGCACGCCTGTACACACAAGGGTACGAAGCGACCCCGTCCGCGCATTAATACGGAGTGTCACTCCACACTCCACCTCCACCTCATTGTATCACGAGGGGTTCGCCAGGAACCAGAACTCAGCGACCACGCACAATGTACACACAGGTACGACGCGACCCCGTCCGCGCACGGGGACACCTCCTACCTCCACCTCCATTATCTCATTGTCTCATGTAAGGGGTTCGCCAGGAGACCAGAGCTCAGCGACCACGCACGAGTACACACAGGTACGACGCGACCCCGTCCGCGCACGGCACCACCTCCACCTACATGTAAAAATTTGTAACAGAATTACACTAATAAAATTGAGGTAAACTGTAATAAATTATTATACACAAATCAGAAAATATATTATACAAAATAGTTAGTCTCTCTAGTGTCTTTCATCGTAACTATGCCCATCAGGATCTATAGTGTTGTTGTAAAAATTATCTCAAGGTTTATTCTGATATTTCATTTCGTAACGTTTGAAACGGTGTCCTTACAGGCGAGCGTCCGTTCGCATGCGACATCTGCGGAGCTGCTTTCTCTCAAAGATCGAACCTGCACTCGCACCGCCGCGCCACACACCTCGGCGACAAGCGACACGCCTGTACACAGTGCCCCAAGAGGTTCAAGAGACGCAGGTACCATGAATGAATACTGGAGTGTCTGTATCTAATACACTGCCGTAATCAAAAAGCGCCACTTTATTAAGTGGGGAGAAGATGAACTCATGACCCCATTACTAACAATGTACCATGTCAGGTTGACCTCCACGCGATGGTTTCCCCCTGGAAACCATGATAAATTCCTGGTGAATTTGTCACGATGGACTAACTCCCTAAAATGTTAAACTTCCCTATTATCTTGGATTTCTAAAATGTCATAATTTTCCCTAGAAGCCGGGTCTAGTATACTTGCAAGTATTCTAGGAATTTCAGTTTTTGATAAATTCCGACAAAATCCACCTGTAATAATATTACCCTTTCATTTATAATGTCGAAAAAAAATTCGCACTTTGTGGCACTTCGCTATAATTAACCCCAAATCAGGGAAAAATTTAGGGGTTTCAAAACATTACACGTCCTTACTGTGAGCCATAACACCGGGGAGAAACCCTACGTCTGCGAGGTGAGCCCCGCCCACACCTTGCACATCAACAAAAATGCAAAGAAAATAGTCCGAGCATTTTTTCCAAGAAGCAAGCGAGTGCACACCGGGGAGAAACCCTAGCTTGGCCGCCATCTTGGATTTTTTAAATTTCATAACTCACCCTATAGGGAAATTTAAATATCCTCTTTGAATTCTTCAAGACCTCGCAAGTACACTAGGAACTTCAGTTTTTGAAGTGACACCCCAATTATAGTTTTGGTCAAGCCATGTGTGTGATGCCAGCAAATTCCGACAAAACCTGCCTAAAACTTTTTACCGGGATGTTTTTAGATAGACCTTGATGCCGCTTTTGTCTAAAGTGTCGAAAAAATTTCCCCACTTTGGACCAAGCGCCTAAATTACCCTAAATTCGAATTTTTTTATTAGCGCTGTCAATACTTTATACCGAGACCCATCATTGTCCTATAGAAGTCGACCAGTCGTGGGGTTGCCTTGTATTTAAAAAATGACTGAAAATAATCCGGATTTTTTGGAGAGGCGCCCAACTTTTGTCGCTTGGTATGGTCGGTCGAGGACGTCGTCTTCGCTGGCGAAGACGGTGTCGTGTGTGTATGTGAAGACGTAGTAGGCACACCGGTATCTGCGGTGGACTCTTACCCCGATATTATCGGATACTACAGTATACTATGGGGTACTACGAGCACTATAGAAGCACCAGCGAGTGCACACCGGTAGAAAGTGTAACATGTCGGAAGTTGTGTGCCGGGTGGCCGGTCACACTACAGTGGTGATTGTCCCCGAGCACTACAAGAAGCACCAGCGAGTGCACACCGGGGAGAAGCCCTACGTCTGCGAGGTGAGCCCCCACCCCGCCCACACCCACACCTACACGTACTCCTCGTGTACCCCGAGCACTACAAGAAGCACCAGCGAGTGCACACCGGGGAGAAGCCCTACGTCTGCGAGGTGAGCCCCCACCCCGCCCACACCCACACCTACACGTACTCCTCGTGTACCCCGAGCACTACACAGTTCCACAGACCACAGTAGTGGTCACGTTGGTAATATTGTTGACGGTGTTGCAGGTGTGCGGCAAGTCGTTCAACTCGCGCGACAACCGCAACACGCACCGGTTCGTTCACAGCGACAAGAAGCCCTACGAGTGCTTCACCTGCGCCGCCGGGTACATGCGCAAGAGACAGCTGCTCGCGCACATGGCCGCCACGGTAACACCACACACCACACACCACACTACACTACACTACACCACACTACACCACACTACACCACACTACACTACACTACACTACACTACGAACACAGCCACAAGAAGTAATAATACGTAATATACACAGAAAACACCCAGACCGAAACAAACAATCATACTCATGAATACAAATGTTTGCACCGTGCGAGGCTTCGAACCCGTGACCTTCGGGAGACCGTCAGTAGAGGGAGTAGCCTCCTGACAATTTATATTTAACTTTCAATCAACTTAATTTTAATTTTTTTGTTTTAGTGAAATAATAATTAAATAAATTAGGAAGTAAATAACGCGATGACTGCGAACAGGGATGAATGGAAGCGAAAAACATATTACGACGACTACAAATAAATGGGATAAGGTAAAAGCAGATGATGATGAGTGAAATTAATAATTTTTGATTTGTTTTTAATTACAGGGTCATGTCGCGGAGTCCATTGTCGTGAATCAGCCGAGAGTCATAAAAACTATAGAAAATGTAAGTCATTATACAATCACTAATGTTGAATGTTTAGTTTCCTAATGTCTTGTCAATTGAAACACCGGTTTGAATTTGACGTGTTTATACAGATACGTCAAATCCAAACTAATCTTTAATACTAAAGACTTAAGACTTAAGAGAGCATTAATAAGTCATTTTATTTATGATTCGTCCTAGTGTTACTTTCATTCCATTATTTGTCGCTAGAGCGCCGTCTATAGACAGGCGTGGTGGGCCGGGTCATTGGGCTCCCTAAAATATGGTCGAGCGCAGTGATGGCTGGCTCATCGGTCATACTCGTGAACGAGTGCTGCTTGTAGAGACTAGTCTGCTCTAATCACTATGACTGATTTTCTCTTATTAATTGTTTGACCAGTTGGTTATATATTCAATATTTTTTCTATTTGAGTATTTAATTGAATTAGTGCTAATTGGTGGTTTGTATTCACACACTTAAACTTAAAAATGTAAAGTAATAATAAAATTATTTAAAAGAGCAACACGCAAGTTTCTTGCTCGTTCTTCTTGTGATGAGACAGCTTTCCGAACGAGCGGTAGATTATAAAAATGTAATGATTATTTAAAAGTACTTCAATGTAAGTTTATTTGAATAAATTATTTTCTATTTCTATTTCTATACTGAAATATTGTTGTGACTAATTTTAGCAAAAGGTTTATATTATATATACTAGCTACTCGGCCCGACTTTCCCCGGGTGTACATATAAACCTTCCTCTAGAATCACTCAACAATCTATTAACAGAAACCGCTTCAAAACCCGTTGCGTAGTTTTAAAGATTTAAGCATACATAAGGACAGACAGCGACAGTGACTTTGTTTTATACTATGTAATAAATAATATGAAATGTTGTTAACAAAGGATGACTTTTCTCATTTGTAAATATTAATAGTATCAAACATTTGTATTCAGAATTTTGTATCGGTCTCTGAGTTTTTTCTATGTATATTATTTATATTTCGAAAAAAAAACTAAACTAATTTAAGTATTTATATCAGTTGTCTAATTCAAATTCAAATTCAAAAATCATTTATTCATGTAGGACATTTTAGCCGCTTATGAACGTCAAATTTTTATATTATAATTTTATTTTTTCCCTACCGTCCAGTTCGGTATATAGATCCAATTGAGAAGAACTGGCAAGAAACTCAATTGAATTACTTATTTTTTTAAAGCCAGTTTATTTACAATGTATATTCATATAGATGTCTATGTATAACATTAAATGAAAATCCAGTGCATGAACAACTATTGCCATGCATACTGGTCATTCAAGTAATCGTTTAGTGAGTAATAGGCTTTGCTCAGTAAATATGATTTAACAGATGTTTTGAATTTATTTAAGGGTAATTCCAATATATTCTTTGGTATCTTATTGTAAATTTTTATACCTATTCCCATAAAAGACGTAACTTTTTTTAAACGATACTTGGGGACTAGTACCCATAACAGGTCTGCTTAACTTAGACCTAGATGGCGCTGTGTGAATTGACTTGGCTTATTATTATTTTCAGACGACAATGGAAGTGGTAGATATCACAGATATAAACGGAGATACCAAATATGATGATAGTGTAAGTATAAATGTAGATGATAGAATGAGACTATATGTGATGTAAATCAAACAATGGATAGAAAATGGTAAATACTTATAACGAAGATACGACTTCAAACATATGTAAAGCAAAAAGTGACAATAAAAATATATCATAATTCTATAAAGCTAATACATTCAAAATTGATAGAAGTGTTTAAAAAAAAATAGAAACTTGTAGAGTTTCTTGTCAGTTCTTCTCAATTGAATCTGTATACTGAACTGGACGATAGGGAAGAACCGACACTCCGTCGACCCATACGCGGCCTCCACTTCATAACCTTTGCTCCATCTACCATCCCTGACTCTGCCACTTCAGCTGACATTAAAAACTTATTTTAAATATAATATACGTAATCTATACATCTATACATGTAAATAAAATTGGAGTGTCTGTTTGTAATATTGAAATAACCGTTTTTACTACATCCACATGAATATAAACACGATACATACACCGAAATACATTTTTTACAATTTTTGTCTGTCTGTCTGTTTGTTCCGGCTAATCTCTGATATGGCTGGTCCGATTTTGACGGACTTTTATTGGCAGGTAGCTGATGTAATAAGGAGTACCTTAGGTTACCTATGTTTTAGAAAATATGTTTTATGTTAAAAAAAAAAATTAAATTCCACGCTGACGAAGTCTCGGGTACAGCTAGATAACAAAAAAAAATGTCGGACCCTATGTGAGAAAAGCCCTAATATCGGGCTACTCGAATAAATACTCCAATAGACTACTGCTATTGAGTAAAAACAACATATGCATGATGACTAGGGCCCTCACAGGACACTGCAAATTAAACAAGCATATGGCTAAACTAGGCCTATGCACGACAAAAATCTGCAGATTCTGCCAAACTGAAGAGGAAACGCCGCTTCACATCCTATGTGGTTGTAGCCCACTCATGCATAAACGAAATATCTCCTTTGGAAAGTATACACTATATCCTGAGGAGATAAAAACCATCGCTCCTAAGAATATCCTTCAATTCTTGTCCCTGACGGGTCTAGGTAGCGAACTTTGAAAAAAGGCGAGGCACAATAGATCTATGTAGGTCGCAGTGCTACAGGTGCTAAAACATCTGACAATAACCCAAACAACCCAATGAAATTTTGCCGTTAATGATTCTAAGGTTACTTACCATCGGGTAGGTAGTTTTGTTAACCACTCCAGTTGGGTAATAGAAATCTAGTTAGGTATATAATATTTGAAAATTGACTTTTATAACTGGATTTATGGTGGTTTGTTAATTAAATATACGAACGAAATTACAGTATATAATATTACTAGCTACTCGCCTCGGCTTCGCACGGGTGTACATGTATTATATATATAAACCTTCCTCTAGAATCACTCTATCTATTAAAAAGAACCGATTCAAAATCCGTTGCGTAGTTATAAACATTTAAGCATACATAGGGACTGGATCTTGTTTTATACTATGTAATGATAGTGATATATATACTTACAGATATTGTACGCTACAAAGGAAACAGATTTGGATGTTAGTCACATAGGCACAGTGGGTAAGTATCTAATCACATTATACTAATATTAGAGTTTAAAATCTTCAAAATAAACTCTATAGCTGTTGACCGCAGCTGGCCTTTACAGCTTCACCGGAGGATAGGGGGCGAGTGCAGATGGCACTCCAAACCAAAGGAAGGACTTATGGAGCGGCTGAAGGCCAACTCCTGCCTGACGGATACGACGCCAGTCTGAGGGCACCACTAGGGGTTCCAACCTTGGCTCAGGCCGTCGTAATATCGATCCCCGTTGAATTGGACGGGGGATCGATCGGAGGGACGCGCGCGTTGTCCGGTTGAATGCGCGGTATGAGGTGTGTCTGTCTGTCACCGCTGAGGGCACCGCTTGGGGTTCGAAGCTCGGCCCCGGCCGTCGTAATTTCAAAATGAAGTTTTGTGTACTTTACAAGATAAAACAGCTTCTCATTAGAGGAACTTTAACTTTAGGGTCGGAAACGCGTATGTGACACCCCTAGTGTTTCAAGCGTCCATAGGCTACGGTAACCGTTTACCATCAGATGGGCCGTATGCTTGTTTGCCACCTAAGTGGTATAAAAAAAAAACTCACACCATACAGACCTTGAGATCCTCACGCCCATACCTCGCGCTATATACTAATATTTAGTTTTTTTTTTCTAGATAAATCAACTATCAACCTAATTGCGGACGGCAATGAGTCTATATTGACATTACGTGAGTACCCACATGTTTAATTTATGGAACTTAATTTTTTTTATTACAGCTTATAGTTTTTATACCGTCTGTTAAATAGAAAAATGACAGTATTCGAAAGGTACATTTTTTACAAGAGAAACATTTAAAGTTTTTTTTTTCATATATTTTTTCCTAAAGTTTTTAATTTACACAGAAGTAGTATATTTAAAAGTGTTTAGATAATGATTAAGACGGCGTGGTTAATTTAATTGACTTATATAAAAGGAGGCAATTCTAGATTCTAATTTTGAAAAATGTTTTTTTACTATTTAATCAACAATATGTAGTTGCAATGGAAATTTATCTGATGGTTTAATGATTAAGGTTAGTAAAATTGACAATTGACTTGTGCCTACACTTGTGATATTTCTGCCAACACTCGACACCCTTCCATTGGTACCTCTCCAGATACCATAGATTTAAGTTAAGTGTAAAGTCAGTCCACGTTACTAATAAGCCATGTAGCACACTACCAGATAAACTTACTAATCTATACATATAAATAAAATTGGGGTGTCTGTTTGTAATTTTGAAATAACCGTTTTTTACTACATGCATATGAATATATATACGGCACCTATACCAAAATAACATTTTTCATAATTTTTGTCAGTCTGTCTGTCGGTCTGTTTGTTCCGACTAATCACTGAAATGGCTGAACCGATTTTGACTGGATTTTTTTTGGCAGGTAGCTGATGTAATAAGGAGTACCTTAGGCTACTTTTATTTTAGAAAAATAAAGTTAAATTCCACGCGGACTAGGTCGCGGGAACAGCTAGTATACAATAAATATAATAGTACAATTATTACACCGATATACTCACAGGTAGTGAGTATATCGGTATATTTTTTTTTTTTTTTTTTTTTCGATTGGCAACACCAACGACAGTTGTCTTTATCAGCTGGCCGTAATAAATAAATAATTTTTAATAGTTTATCACACGAATATTATAGTTCCGATATCATTATTAGTGATTTAATAGTGCAATAAGTGTCGATTATTGTTTGTGTACAAATTGGAGGTGTATTATTTGCAAAAATCGACATTAAAAAATAGTGTACCGGCCATCTGTCCCCTAGCGGTGCTGAGGGCACCGCTAGGGGTATGGGTACTGGCGTCGTATCCGTCAGGCGGGAGTTGGCCTTCAGTCGCTCCATAACTCCTTTGGTTTGGAGTGCCATCTGCACTCGCCCCCTATCGTTCGGTGAAGCTGTAAAGGCCAGCTGCGGCCAACAGCATTAGAGTAGTCCGAAAAAAAAATCTTCGTGTGAAGAGTCTGCGTTCCGAATGAGTGGTAGAATAAAAAAATTTAATAGAATAGAAAATCCTTTATTCAAATAAACTTAATTTAAGCAATTTTGAATAGTTATCACAATTTTTTTAATCTACCGCTCATTCGGAAAGCTGTCTCATCACAAGAAGAATGAGCAAGAAATTTGTGTGTTGCTCTTTTAAATAATCTTTGTAAGTTCACATTTTTAAGTCGAAACGTGTGAATACAAACTACCAACTAGCACTAATTAGGGTCAAATATAAATACACAATAAGATTAAATCAGTCGTAGTGATAAGAGCAGACCAGTCCCTACAAGCAAATATGTGACTATTCAAAAGTGCTTATATTAAATTTATTCCAATAAAAAATATTTATATATCTATAATTATAATTGTACTGTATTTAAATATTCATTTGAATAAAAAGTTTTACATTTTTTTTACTTTTGTTTGACGACCTCGGTGGTCTAGCGGTCTAGCACACCGCTTTACGTCCGATGGTCGCGGGTTCGATTCCTCGCACGGCACAAACATTTGTATTCATGAGTATGATTGTTTGTATCGGTCTGGGTATTTTCTATGTATAATATGTATGTATTTACGAAAAAAAAATTATCTATGTATTTGTATCAGTTGTCTAGGACCCATAACACAAGCTTTAGCTAGCTTAACTTGGGTCTAGATGGCGCTGTGTGTGTGTAATTTGGCCATTCCCGACATTTACAATACAGACTATCAACTGCTCAGATTATGTTACAAAGATCATAGACTATATTTATACTATATGATTATATCCTAGACATAGATTATACCAAAGACTATATATACTACAATAATAATGTTTTCTTTCTATTACAGAGGATTTGAAAACAATAAAAGTAGACGAAGCGACCTTAGACACCAATGTAGATGGACAGACTGAGGTAATTATGAGCTCTTCCAGTTAGTCGCGGGTTCGAATCCAGCACTATAATTTTTTTTATAACTTAAAAACAGCAGATACACAATCAAGCTCGGCCCATCTGATGGTAAATGGTTACCACATAAACGCCGGAAGCCCTATTACTAACATGCACTTTGACCCTTAAGAAATCTTAATATATGCTTTTTGAAAAACCAAAGAGAAACAGCAGTTAATTCAGTGTGAGTGTACAAGAGACGGAATCCTCTATTTAAAACAATATTTGTATACATATGTTTATTTTGAATTAGTATATTTCAGATACTATCTGACTAAGTAAGCTAAGTATAGTTTTACTTTGAGACTAATTATTATATTACATAAGCCCTGTTAATAACTGTCCCACCATCCGAGTTTTGCATCTCTTGAACTTAATTTTGGGTAAAATCCAAAATGCTGACGTGTATACAGAAGCCTTGTCTTTTATAATAGATAAAATTAGAATGTACTCTCTTTATATAGTTAAGTCGTGTTTATAGTTAAGTATAATTTGGGAATTGTACGTTTATATTGTATGAGTATTTTCGTTGCAAATGTATGAGTCTGCTGTGACTCAGGAAATCTGGGTACTATAATAGTGTAATGCATGTATGTATTTAGAAAAAAAAGTATCTAAGTATTCATATCAGTTGTCCAGTACCGATAAAACAAGCTCTGTTTACCGTGGGACTAGATGGCGCTGTGTTAATTGTTATTTCTTTTTGTAAATCTATAATATTTTTTAATTCGGAAACTTAAGAGAAGATTTTAATTTAAAAATTACATATAAATTAAGATAAGGCACAGTAACAAGAAAATAATATCAAATTTCGCGTCAAACTCTATTCACAGGTATTCGTATCGGACGAGAATGGCAGTGTAATGAAGCTAATACAAATACAGCTGCCAGATGGAAAGACTGGATGGGTTTCGATCAACAAGCCACTTGAGGGATCTCTTTAACATGCAAACTAGACGTGCGAGCAAGCAACACGCGGCAAATCTTAGTGTTACACAGTGCGTGTATAAATATCCTAAGGATATTTGACGATTAGTTATTTTTGTTTAGTATATTCATTAACTCTAAAACAGAAAATTTCAGTTGGCGTATTCCTAATTAATGGAACTCGTTATGTCTATTACAGACTCTTATGATATGTCAAATCTGCCGTCAGTTCGGAATGATTTCAAGATGAGAACTGACAAGAAACTCAGCTCTATTTTAAATAAGCTTATACATGATAACAGAAATATAGATCTATTTTTAAATTCAATTAGGGAAAATGTCGTGGCTACCAATAGAGGCTATTCTATTTTTGTCAAAAGGAAATAAGTCGCTCACGGACCAGTTCTTAACAATCATTCCTGACCTGACCTGACCTCATGCCATTCAATTATTATCCATAAGATACTAATAAGTACTTTTTTTAAATAGAGGTAACAAATTTTACACGCCGATTTAAATATCGAGTCTTATCTATTCCTATAATTATTAAGTAAGATGTTAAAATTTTTTTAGTGGCATGTTTAAATTATCGTTATTTTTAGTAACCTGTAACGAATTTGTATATTAGAAGTTATAAAGTAGTCAATGTTATCATGAGTCACCATTACTATTAAGTAAATCATTTGTATATATTGTAAATAATTTATATTAAAATATTTTTACAATAAATGTTGTTTTATTTATTAAAAAATACATATGTTCTTGCACGTATACTCTGGCAGGCAAACGAGTGGGTATTCCAGTTATGTAAAATCATTTCTTATCTGTGGTACTATATACTCACATAAACCATAATTAATAGCTTGTTTTTATCTGTTAAATGGTCCGCATGTAAGTGCAAAAGTGCATGTTTTGATCCTTTTGAAATAATTATTAAAACCACGGTATTGTTTATTTTTAGACCACTAAATTTATTGAAAAATCATGACCAATAAAAAGAAATAGAAATAATCTTTATTCAAATAAACTCAATACATGCTTTTGAAGTCATATTTTATTATTCTACCACTACTACTCACTCGGAACGCATATTCATCACAAGAAGATTGAGCAAGAAACTTGTGTGTTTGCTGTTTTGAATTGATTTTTTTATATAAACAAGTAAAAGGCATGCGACAATCAACATAGAAAATGAGTGAGTAGCGGACTCATTCTCAGTGCAATCAGATTATATATTTAAGTTTTTTCTACAAAAACTATTAATATTTACAAACTCTTCAATTTTATAATAAACAATTTTACAGAAAAGTTTTATAAAGTGAAGAGAATTTTTTAAGTTTTTAAGTGACATTGATATCTTTTTTCAGACAGATTTAGAACAGACTCAGGTAGTTTATTGTACAAGCTTAAGCAATTACCATAAAACAAATTACTAATTTTAGTCAAACGACATTTAGTTAAAATCAGTTTGTTATTATCAAATTATTTATTAAAATAACTATAATATCGAATGATCAACGATTACGTATTCACATCACTGCTTAACATTTTATATAAACATCGTAAGTTGTCAATAAGTAGTTGTCATTGTCAAAAATCTTGAAAAATGAGAACGTCAATAGCTCAAAGGCCATTTTGATCATTCCATTTTTTTATAATGAATTATAATAAAATTATTGATTTTTATCACTGAGGCGTCTGTACATAATACAAAGGTGTTTTCAAATATTTCGTCAAATATGTTATGTATATACAAAATCTACATTATTATAAAGTTGTGAATGTTTGTGATAGGAATCTAATAAGAGATAATTTGGTAAGTTTATGACGTGTATATTTGAAATATTAGTCTAATCGCTATCGTAGACATCCAAGAATGTTTGCTTTGAACAAAATTAGCCATACTTTGAAAATTTAGTACAATGAATATCTGTTTACAAAAATAAACATAGTTAAGAATAACTTTTTAATTCGTTCTATATTTAAATGAGTTAAGTAATAAATGGATACAGCTATCTCGATTGGACAGGATAATAACTGGTTTTTTTTTATACCTACCAGACAAAAAAATTGTGAATTGTATTAGAATTTAATAGACTACTTCAATGCAACGTTGTTAGGTTAGGACTATAATAATACTGCATTTGTAGGTAAATATTACGTATTTTATATATTGCTGTATTAGTTATCGTCCTTGTAGTTGCATGGGTGCATTTATTGTAGGAATCTCTAATTTATAAAACATAAAATGTTGTCTATCCTAGTTGCTAAATAAGTAAATTAAAAAGTATATAAGTCAAACATGTTTTTAAAATTTGTTATCTAATTATACAGTTTATCTATCACAAATATAAAAACAAGTCTTTATACTGCTACTTATATTTAATTACGGGAATATCATCGTTTTTTTTTATGTTTTTGTAGAAAAAATAACATTCATAGTGCTGACAATGTTTAATATTGTCTGATTGCACAAGGAATGAGAGTGTAGCAGTTTTTATGTTCATTATTGTATGCTCTCTGCTATTCTGTTATAGCTTTTATCAGTAAAATAATGCAATAAGAGATTGACAATGTTAAGTTCGAAACTACAACTATTAACTACAAAGTAAACATAAAAATTGACAATAACAAAATTACAAACTATATTTATATACAAAATATATTTAATATAAGCAATTCAGCTTATATTGAGTTTATTAGAATAAAGATTATTTTGTGAATGATAATGGAATGGAATAGTGCACTACTGTGCATAAATTAAGACTAATATATAACACTAATGTTAAATTGAATTTTAACTAACTGTATAAGATGAAGTTAGTTTCACACGGCTTAAAATCACATGTATTTTTAGTACCTACAAAGAATCTTAAAATTTATAGATGTTAACTTTAACTACAGGTATAAAGTATAATCTAATTTTATTCTAGACAAGTCAAGGTAACTACATGCCCCTTTAGGGAGACAAAACTCTATTTTTGGTCTAATTTTGGTTTAGAAATGAAAAAATAAATACACTTGATATCATACTACAACCTCTTCCCCCCTAGTGATATTTCTTGATTTTCACTTGATTCAAATTCAAATTAAATAAGAATTTATCCATGTAGGACAATTTAACTGCTTATGAACGTCAGATTTTCTATATTATAACTTTTTCCCTACGATCCAGTTCAGTATATAGGTAGGCTGACCTCTAATTAATAATAATAATTTATTTACCCAAAAACACAGCATAAAAGATAATAATTAAAGCATAGTATCATGTGTTTCGCAGTAGTAATGGCATGCAAAAATAGTATTGTTTTAAAAATTATACATAACTAGCTTTTAACCGCGGCTTCGCTCACGTTAATTTATCCCCTTAGGGGTAGATTTTATCAAAATCCTTTCTTAGGGGATGCCTACATCATAGTAGCTTTATATATGCAAAGTCTCAGCCCGAACGGTTTAAAATTGTCAAAGTTTCATACAAAGTTTCATCCCCTATTTTATCCCCTCGGGGGTAGAACTAATCAAAATCCTTTCTTAGCGGATGCCTATGACATAATATCTACCTGCATGCCCAATTTCAGCCTGATCCGTCTAGTGGTTTGAGCTGTGCGTTGATAGATCACTATGTCAGTCACCTTTGAGTTATATATATATATAGATTAACTATACAGAGAGAAATAATAATAATAATAATAGTAAAATAGGATCTCTCCAGTGGATAATATATATTGTCAAAAAATCCTTTACGAAATACTTTATATGTATAAATAAACTAGATACTAGTTATTATTAAAAACTGTTTCCTTTGTCTACAGACATCTTAATTTGTACTTAAAGTTGTATATATGATAAAAAGTGGAGTACTTAGTCACACAGTGAAATAACACAGGGGTGTATAAGATGATTAACATCAGTGATGGCACAGGAACAAATGATATAGAAGGAAGCGGAGTTCTGTGCCATTTGGCAACCCCCAGTTAAAAAGTATCAGGTAATACATCTTTAAAATGAAACTTATATAGCGTTGCAGCGCCACAGCCGTTACAGCATTATGCTGAGCTCAGACCGGACACTGGACCAGTTCGGTGGATGTTTTGACACATATACACATGCACACTTGTAATTTTGTAATGATGAATGGTAAAAGGACTTTCTTTTTTTGTAATTGTTGCAATATTTTTAGTTTTTTTTGTTTAGTATGTGTTTTATTTATTTTTTTAACATCTGCCCAATAAATATATTTTCATTTTCATATAAACTGAAATATTTTAATACACCCCTTTTCTGTGTCTAATACACCCTGTATTAGGATTTTTCGGTCACGAAAAAGCATTCTGCGTGAAAGGATTCGTGGTCAAAAAACTGAATCATAACCGAGTGCTCCCGAGATGAGACGAGACGACGCGAAACGACATGAGCGCCGCAAGTACACTCTCGCGCTCGTTCGGTCTCATCATGTCTCCCTGAGAGTGTGCTGCTGGCATTATAGAGATACATTAAGTTAGATATCTATAGACAGGTCTGTGTGCACATAAAGCTAGCCTGCTTTTTATCAGACAGTAATTAATATAATTGTAAATAACTGATGTTTTTGGAGAATAAAACATTAAATTACATTTCCCATGAGTGTTATTGTATGTGTCACATGATAATGTAATGTTTACAGTGGTGTGCTAGGCGGGGCAGTGCCCCGGGGCCCTCAAGCACAGGGGGCCCTCGAACCCTTACCAGAAAATCTCGATTGAACAGTACTTTTGAAAATTTCTCTCATTTTCAAAATAAATATGACAGGTTGCAACTCAACTTTAATCATGGCAGCTCACTTGAGAGAAATTCGAAAGTTATACCTTCAGAATTCCCCTAAATTCTTTCTGTGGGTTGGCAGTGTTGTCAATCTGATGGATAGCGATATGTGCGTTTTAACAAAACTGTAATGTAGGGCCTCATTGCTGAGCAGTGGGGCCCCATTGATTGATTAGCCCCGGGGCCCTTGGTTACCTAACTACGCCACTGAATGTTTGTAGTGGTGTTTGTGTAGGTAGGCAATATTTACCACTTGACATAAAAAAAACTTAGTATTACTTTACCTATAATTAAGTTTCGAATTTATTAAGTGTCTAAAGCATCTAAATTTTCACTTTCCAGGTTAATTAGATGTAAGTATCAAATATGTCTGTAAAAGAAGAATTAGATGTAAAAGTAAAAATAAAAGTTGAGGATGACAACAAAAGTTCCAAGAGGAAAGATCCCACCTCTTTCTTGCCAGATGAACCAATGACATACGAGATAAAACAAAAGAAGAAGAGAAGAAAGAAACGGCTCGAAGATCCATTTAAAGATATAGATGAGAAACCAGCAGTGACGATAACTAGAGAGATCACTGATGCAGAGGATGTTGTAGCAACAGACAATGTGAAGTTTGATCCTGAAGTTAATATTAAAGTTGAGAATATTGAAGTGGAATTAGATTTTAATGATGTAAGTATCTGATGTCGTCCACCAGCGTTGAGGCCTAATGCTTTATTTCCCCGAATAACCCAAGAGGTTGTTAATTTAAATCTACAGGACATCTAAGAAACTGTGTGTCTGTTCATATTTCTACCTGACTGATCAATGAAGCAAACATCTATATAAAACAAAAATTAACCAGAGTGAGGGTGTAGCGTAGTTCCCTTGCTTGTTGAATATACAAAGCAAAATGTTGACTTGTTAAATTTTATCTCTGACTATTCCATTTTGGATATGTATGTTTGTTGCTTTTGTTTTTTATCTACTGGAATATTATAGTTTGTTAACATTTGGTGGAATTTTCCATTGAATAATAATAAAGTTTTTATTGCTAGATAAGTTATGTTATATATTATTACACCTTTTTCTCGTTTCCTAATTTTTATCTTTGGCTTCTCCTTTTATATGTAAAAGGAGAAGCCAAGGCCTATGGGCTTTCCTTCTCTTCAAGATCTTCCCGTTTTGCTCCCCTTAAGCCAACAGTACTATGTAGCAACCCAAGCTCTTTGTAAATCTACAATCATATTTTTTCTGTGTTCCAGTTTGCTAACAATGGAAGATTAATGCTGGAAGGTCCTCATAGTGAAGACAGCCAGGAACCAGAAATAAAAATCGAGCAGCAAAACCACGAAGCGGTCCTGCTGACATTCGAAAGCATCATCAATGATAAATCTGTATTCGGGTACAGTCAGGGTGCTGAAACTGCGCCCACCAACGTCTGCAAGGTGTGCCATCTAGTCTTTCAATCGCCGAAAACCTTGCGGATGCACCAGAAACGAAAGCACAAAGCATTTAGGAAGTACTTTAAACATATATGTGATTATTGTGGTATGTCATATGAAATGAAAAATAGTCTAGTCGCGCACATTAAGAGGAAACACGGGCCCAATGCAATACCTGATGACCTTGAGGAGCGGACATGTGATGTCTGCGCTTTAGTGTTCAAAGGGATGACCAGATTACGAATGCACATGCGAAGGAAGCATGGTTCATTCGAGGAGTCATTCAAGCACATATGTGACGATTGCGGTCTAACCTACGACAAATATCGAAGTTTAATAGTACATATGCAGAGAAAACATTCGGCCACACCAAAACCAGTCGTGGACCAGTGGTACAACTGCCCGTTTTGTCCGAAGATATTCAGTAAGAGGGAGACTTACGCGCGCCACGTCCAGAGGAAGCACAAAGTACCCGACGAGGACAGTGAGGATGCAGAAATAAAAAAGGAACCACTCGAGAATTGCATGAACGAGCAAACCGGCGAGATTACATGCAAAGAGTGTCCGCTAGTCTTCTCCTCAATCAATTTCCTCAAGTTGCACATGAGAAGAAAGCATAACGCTTTAAAGGAAGACTTTAGACTTAAGTGTAGGATTTGTAATTTGTCCTATAATAAAATTGAGAGCCTAAAAAGGCATGTGCGGAGGAAGCACGATAAGGGTTCGCATTGCGAAGTGTGCAATAAACAATTCGACACCAGGGAAATGTATCTAAATCATTCCCATGTGAAAGTTATAAAGGAATGTTCTTTATGTGGACTAATATTCGCCTCTGAAGGTGGTCTCGCAAAGCATTTGAGGTGCACGCACAAGTTAGACCTGCCCAAGACTGTATTCTGTAGTATATGCAACGAGGGATTCCACGATAAAAGACAACTCAAGCCGCATCTAATGAAAGTACACCTGAAAGTGTCCTACACTTGTAAGTACTGCAAGAAAGTGTTTAAAGCTAGAGAGAGTTACAGACGGCACGTGTTATTCAAGCATCCAGTGAGCAATTTGACTCATAGCCAAATGCAAAAATGCGAGCAGTGTCCAGCCACTTTCCTTGACGAGTTTGAACTTTGCCGTCATATTAACTTGACGCACAGGGAACCTGATCCTTCCGAGCCGTTTTTCGACGTTAAAAAGGAGGAGATGGATCTGAAAGATCCGTTTCAATGCACGAAATGCTCTGAATCGTATCCAGCATGGGAGCAACTGAGGTTACACTTTGAGCAGAACCATCATCAATCTGAAGATACGCAGTGTCAGATGTGTGGGGAAATATTAGCTGCGAGCAAACTGCAGGCGCACATAAAGAGTCAACACACGGATATAGAAGTTATAACTTGTAAATACTGTCCGTTCCAGACGACAAACAGAGCGAGCATGACCCAGCACATGTTACGGCACAAGAACGCTACAACACTACACTGTGATTACGCCGGATGTCGTTATAAGACGTTCTACGAAGGTGCTATGGAGAAACACAAGCAGAAGCACGTAGAACAAGGTGTTAAGTTGCAGTGTACAAAGTGTCCCTTTCAGTCGATGAATAAATATATCTTGAAATATCACGAAGAGGCACATATGACTGGCAAGAAGAGATACATGTGTGATCAGTGCGATTATGCTACAATATTACCAGCGAATTTAGTCCAACACAAGTACAAGCATTCCGCTGAGAAACGGTTCAAGTGCGAAGTGTGCCCGTTCGCAACGAAATACAATACATCTTTACGTTTCCACGTGAAAAAGAAACACTGTGATCTACCCACAATCAGCTGAGCTGTGAAATGGTTTTGTTTTTTATTATTATAGAGTATTTGGTGTTAAATTTGTTTCTTTCATTTCCTCAGTCATCAGTTATCATTAGCTATCAGTCGTGTCAATTTTTTTTTAATTTAAAATTACACTTTTGAACAATCCTTTTAGTAATCCAGGCTTCTGAACTAGCATTAGACGTATTACAGAACCTAGTTCCTTACTAATACATGCGCTTTGATTATAGATTGATGAAAACTATTATGTCATCTAAAAGATAAAAACTAAAGTTATAAAAAAAATGTTGAAATAAACATAACATTTTGCACTATATTGTGTGTGTGTCTTATGTGCAAGTATGATGTATGTGTGTTTATATGTATGTATGTAATTAAATTTGTTGTCAAAAGTTACCGCGGTAGAGTTAGTAAAAATTCGCCTACCTACATAGCTCACCTCAGTCTCCTGTTTCAGCTGACACGTAGCTTGCTGTGTAAGCTGTGTTATAGGGTGAGATTTGGCAGTGAAATGTGCTTTTTTTTATAATGGATGTTAATGGAATGCTGTACCCGCCTGCGCTAACAGTACACGCTGGCGCACCAGTGGATGATGATAAGTATCAGGTCAGGTAGCCCATCGTGACAAATTCAAATATCACGGGGAGTGTTCTGAGGAATTGTTCGGATTAATACCAGCTGCTGAGTTTCACCACCGTACCACCCGCCAGAAACTGAAATACCATCCTGATGATCTGGATGAAAGGCGGTCTTCCACCGTGCGGTTTTCTAGAAACTTTTTGCCTCGCACAACCACATTGTGGAATCACCTTCCAGCAATGGTATTTCCGAACCGATACGATATTGAAACCTTCAAGAAAAGAGCTTATTCCTTTTGCAATTCCCCTGGTGTTGCGGGTGCTCATGGGCGGCGGTAATCACTTACCATCAGGTGAGACACGTAGTCGTCTGTCACGTGTTATAAAAAAAAATCACGAAGAATTTATCACGATGGTTTCCAGAGGGAACCGCGTGGAGGTCAACCTGACATAGTACATTGCTAGTAATGGGGTCATTGTTCACGTTACTAACAATGCCCTTTCCTCTCTTTCCTTAGGTTAATTTGGTATTGAGTCGGTCAGAAATATAAAAATATTTCGGTCCTGATCACATTCGAACACATAACCTTTTGCGGTCTAAATCGAGGTAGTAACCACTACACTACGATGCTCTCAGATCTATAAGAAACATGACTTTGGGGAACAACATCAAAATCGGCCATAATGTGTGTAAAAAGGCATAAATAAAATTATTGGCATATCCGAATTTTTTCTTTAATTATTAAGCCACATCATAAATTTAATTTAGTGCTAAAACTAGATATTACAGATAAGAGAATATGACATCTCTACATGATTCAGGGACACTACCAGAGATATTCGCATATATAAAATTTCATCAAAATCGATTAAGCCGTTTCAGTAAAGAATATACTGTGTGTGACACAAAAAAATTATATATTAGATTACTTTTAACTACAATGAAAAAGAAAAACAATAGATTTCAATAAGAAGAAGGTTATTATATTGTAGACTAGCTGTTCTCCGCGACTTCATCCGCGTGAAATTTAACTTTCATTTTCTAAAATAAACGTATTTTTCTAATATAAAAGTAGCCTAAGTTACTCTTTATTAGATCAGCTACCTGCCAATAAAAGTTCCGTCAAAATCGGTCCAGCCATTTCAGAGATTAGCCGGAACAAACAGACAGATAGACAAATTATAAAAATTATAAAAAATGTTATTTTGTTGTATGTACCGTACTTATATTCATATGCATGTAGTAAAAAACGGTTATTTCAATATTACTGATATTACAAACAGATACTCCAATTTTATTTATATCTATAATCTATACATGGTACCCATACATTTTGTTGCTGTGTATAGGTCATAAGTTCGATGAACTTAATGATTACCAGAGCACATAAGAGATGGCGCTGTTCCTTTAAATTACTCTCACATGAGCTGTCAAACACGTCAAAGCAAAGCTCTATTCCTGCTTTGTTATCGAATTTTTCATCTCTTTTTAACACGTTCTATTAACTCAACATCAGAAGAAGACAAAAGTATTTGTTTAATTACTAAGCCAAGCTGACTGACGGAGAAGAATCGCGAATAAACCACATCGCTTTTGTTTCAAAACTTTAATGTAAACACTAAACATTGTTTATATTGGTTTTCTACGCGTTTGATGTGACACACTCGTTTTAGTTTATTGAAGGATGGATCTCCTGGGTCTACCAGTTGTCGTGGTAGAGAAAATATTTTCGTATCTCACTTACGATGAAATTGCAAAGAATAGAATGGTAAGAAATTATTCTACATTTATTTATAGTTATGAGCAATTATAACCCTACTTGTTATATAAAATGGATTCTGTTTCCCTTGCGTCAGCTGACGAAGTCTTCTTTTGGATGTCTTCTTATAGAGCCATTCAAGTAGTTTCTAAGTACAAAATCGTAATTTAAATACTTTAATTACGATCCAACTTTCTTTTAAATCATATTCGTTGGATGTTCAGAATTCCAGAATTAAACAAATACATAAATCTAATAATATTTGTTGGTGTGTTGGTCAGTGTATACACGCCCATATCTCACTCTTTCTTATATATCCTTTAATTACACTGTATTTTGAAATGTAGTGGTAAATCTTGTTTGATTCAACAATAGATTAATAAGTTATTAATTGAAGAGGATTGTTAGTAATGTGGACTAATAAACATATTGCTAGCGTTGTATGATGTCAGGTTGACCACTCAGTGCCCCCTGGAAATCATCCTGGTAAATTGCCATTTGTCAAGATGGGTTAACTGACCTGACTTCATGCTCATTTTGTCAACCTCCATTGGTGCTCTGCCAGCATAAACCATTTGGGCAGGCAGGTGCGTCAGTCTACCATCCATAAAAAAACATGTCTAAAGCCTATACTTTATTTCTGCCTATATAAGTTTAAATACACCCTTATGGTATTTATAATAAAAAGATACAAAAGGGTAAAAAGATAAAAAAGATACCAATAATATAATAAAAAGGTACAAACCCTTATATACCTTTTTAACTCAGAACCCTAAAATTACACAACAAAATCTGTCTTATTTAAAACATTTTTAATGTAACAATGTTGGAACAATGTTTGAACTCAAAACAATCAATAAAATTACAATTTATAGCTGAACTATAAATTTATCTGGTGTTTCATCTCTACTCTGTATACACAAGTTATTATTTGTATGGATGATAATGGACTGCTGCCTAAGGCTTGTGGAACATAAGTGTGATTAAGTATGAATATTTTTTTTTTATACCACTTAGGTGGCAAACAAGCATACGGTCCATCTGATGGTAAACAGTTACCATAGCCTATGGACGCCTGAAACACCAGGGGTGTCACATGCGCGTTGCCGACCCTTAAGAAACCTTAATATACCCTTCTTGAAAAACCCCATGCTGTAATCTCCCGAAAAAACCTCGGCAGGTAATTCATTCCACAATCTAAGTGTATGCAGGAGGAAGCTCCTCTGAAACTGCACAGTCCAAGACCATTTAGGTTCCAGCGTGTGGGGATGAATTTCCTGTCGATGGCGAGCGGTGCGCTAGTAAAAGGTAGCCGTAGGCATCATATCTAACAATTCATCAGAACACACTCTGTTGTATATTCGCTATATATAATATAAAACCTCCTTAGCCATCTAAGTATATTTTACTTTTTTATTTAATTTTAAATAATCTTAAATTATTATAACAAAAGTTTGATACCAAAGCATGGCATATTAATAATTCATTTTTATTTTGGACATTACTTGATTATTAAACACTAGTGGATAAAAGGAATTGGTATTATTTTATTGGATCCGTTAAATATAAGCGAAGGATGATATGTTGAATATAACTTTAGGTCAGTTAGTCTATCAAATTGTTGTAGAAATATGTAGTAAAACTATTTAGTCATAAATAGTTTTACAAAAAAAATGTATTTAATGCTTAAGATGGCAGAGAGTAAAGTGCCAATTATATAATTTTGTTTTTGTAATTTTGATTAAAGAATACAAAAAACCTTTAAATATATTCATATCAAAAGAGTTTCTCAACACAAATTAACAAAGAATTTATCGCAATGGATTCCAGGGGGAGCCACAAGGTTTACCTGACATAGTATATTGCTAGAATAGAATAGAATAGAATATCATTTATTCAAATTAACTTACATTGAGGCACTTTTGAATAGTCATCACATTTTTTTTTAATCTACAGCTCATTCAGAAAGCTGTCTCATCACAAGAAGAACGAGCAAGAAACTTGTGTGTTGCTCGCATTGAAGTCATCAGTCCACATTACTAGCAATTCCCTTCCCTCCATCATGTACTAAATGTACATGAAAAGTTAATTTGAAATTCCAAACAGACACATTAATTTTATGTATTTCTATGTATTTACAAAACATATTTATAGGAGTGAAATGTGGTCATATGTTTATCATGTTGATAATATCTGTGATCCGTGCGTTGCATTCAGATATATAATCTATATATTACTAGATGACCCCGCTAACATTGTTTTGCCATATAAATTTAAATTGCTATTTAAAAATAGGGGTTGTTGATAGTAGTGAAAATTTAGGGTGGTATGTATTTTTTAATGACACAATAAAAAAAAAAAAATTAAAAAAAAAACTAAAAATTCATAGCGCTGGCAATATTATTTGATTGCACTACGTACGAATGTGTAGCGGTTTCTATATTGATTATTGCATGCCTCTCACTTGTTATTATAAATAACATCTATTCAAAAGAGCAACACACAAGTTTCTTGCTCATTCTTGTGATGAATCTGCGTTCCGAATGAGTGGCAGAATAAAATATGACTATTCAAAAGTGCAAGTATTGAGTTTATTTGAATAAAGATTATTTATATCGTTACATAGTTTATATCATTACATCAGTGTTTTGTTCCTTGAACAATGTTCCACGCTGAGCTTCGACCTTTTTGCATTGCTACAGATCACACATAATAACACAATTTTATATTCTTATGAACATGTTGTGTGTGATTGTAACAAACAAATAAACGATATATCTATCTATCTACATAGTATAAAACAAATTTGCTGTTGCTGTCTGTCCCTATGTAAGCTTAAATCCTTAAAACTACGCAACGGATTTTGAAACGGTTTTTTTTAATAGATAGAGTGATTCAAGAGGAAAGGTTATATATATAACTAGCTTTAGCTTCCCGCGGCTTCGCTCGCCTTAATTTATCCCCTTAGGGGTGGAATTTATAAAAATACTTTTTTAGGGGATGCCTACGTCATAGTAGCTTTATGCATGCAAAGTCTCAGACCGATCGGTTTAAAATTGACAAAGTTTCATACAAACTTTCATCCCCTATATTATCCCCTTGGGGGTAGAATTAATCAAAATCCTTTCTTAGCGGATGCCTACGTCATAATATCTATCTGCATGCCAAATTTCAGCCCGATCCGTCCAGTAGTTTGGGCTGTGAGTTGATAGATCACCATGTCAGTCAACTTTGAGTTATATATATATTTAGATACATGTACACTTGTGCATATATATATATGCACAAGTGTACATGCTACTATATAGTAAAGTAGGATGTGTGTAACACATACCGAGCCTGTCACGACGAGATAACCCAACAAACATACTACTTAATGTTCAGTTGTGACCTATTGTAGTACACAAAAATAAAAAAAAATAAAAAAATGTACACTTGTGCGAAGTCGGGGCGCGTAGCTAGTTTCTATAATAAATATATGTATAATGTTACAGGTATCGAAGTCATTTAACGATATATGTGTGCGGCTACTCAACCGCGGTTTCCTGATGATTGAGAGAAGGCACGCGCTGGCGTTGAAGAGTGTGAAGGCGCAGCTACCACGAAGAGAATCTGAACGCAGGTCATATAAATAAAATAACATAAAATAAAAAGGTCATATATCTTATTAATATTATAAATGCCAAAGTTTGTAAGTATGGATGTTTGTTACTCTTTCACGCAAAAACTACTGAACGGATTTTGACTTTACAGTAATACAGCTTATGTGTCAGAATAACACATAGGCTATATTTTTTATTGAATTTTAACGCGTGTAAAACCGCGGGCTCTGCTAGTATATCTTATATATAACATTCTCGTGTCACAGTTTTCGTTTCCATACTCCTCCGAAACGGCTTGACCGTCAGACCGGTCAGAGAAACGGCCAACATCTATTTTTCATCCCCCTAAATGTTAGGGGTAGTCCACCCCAAATTTTTTTTTTATTTTAAGGCAAAACAACGGTTCCCGGGACAGCTAGTATATAATATAAATAAATAACCCTGGACGAATAACAGCGCCATCTCATCACAGCGCCAGCGCATTCCCGCGTGTTATGCGTACTAGACAGATATAAATATTTGATAGTTTTGTAATTACATACATAATATACATAAAAAACACCCAGACTAAACAATCATACTCATGAATACAAACGCTTTCACAATGAGAGGAATCGAACCCGCGATCATCGAAATCAAGGCAGTGTGCTAAACCACTACTTCATTGAGGTCATAAAAAAACCGATGTGTTGCAGGTACCACCCGTTGTCTCGTCACTGCGACATCTTGACGTCCATAGAGACGAGGATATCGATGCTCAACATGACCTACTCCAAGTTCATAGACAGCGGCATGTGCTGCTTCATACCGGGCAGGGTGAGTGCACATCAGTTTGTATTGTCCGGGGATCGAACCAACGACCGTTTGAAATCCAATCTGGCATGGCAACAGTTGTGTATATATGTTGGGGTATGCTTAGGGTTGCCATCCGTCAGTGTTTCCCCGAATTTGTTCTAGTTTACAGGACATCTGGGGAGCGTCCGAGGTAATATAAATGGTGTTTTATCTTAAGAACAAAAAATCGAATTGATTATTAAAACAATTTGTAACAAACTAAAATATTCTGTTTTGTTATAATTGTAATGATGATAAAAAATTACTACATTTAATTTTAAGTACTGTAAATAAATAAATACACTGATCATGTTTCAAGCAAGTTAAAGAAAAAGTTGGAGTCGTGTCGTATCAACAGCTAAAAGGACTGATGGAAGATCGTGGAAGGTGGTGAGCGCTCCACCGACAAGAGCACAGCTCTTAAATTATGAATGAATGAATGAATGATCATGTTTAAAAAAACCTGTTCACATGTCCGTGTTCTGAACTCTAAACTTCAGGGTTTTCACGCGTCCTGTCCTGGTTTCCAAATTTTAGAGATGGCAACCCTAGTTATGCTGAAATAATGTCGTGATGAAAGATTGAAAAAACATAACCCTTTCAGTGCCAAGAAGCACCGTCGCATTGATCTCGCAAGTTGTGAGAAATATATGGCACTAAAAGGAGTAGTTTTTTGGTTGTCTCTACCCACCCCGTAACAGGCGTGTAGATAAGTTATTTGATAATATTTTTATTTTTAAAGACTCATCTGAGATAAATTTAAAAACGACACATTTGAAATAATAGTTTTGGCAATTATAATTATTTAATTATTTGCTAGCTACATAATAGCTACAGATTTGGATTTAGGCAAGCACAAGCTGGCCTTCAGCCGATTCATAAGTCTCTCCGTGGGTTTGGAGTCCCATCTGCACGTACTATCGTCCGGTGAAGCTGTAAAGGCCAGCTGCGGCCGACAGCATTAGAGTAGTCCGAAAAAGGTTGGGATCTTACAAAATAATAATAATGTAGTACCTTTATTTACTACTAGGTGATAGATGAGATGCGGCGCGTGCTGTACATAGTGGAGACGATGAAGACACCGCCGCGGGCGCACGAGGTGCTGCAGGAACTGCGCGACATCTCCAGCATGGCCATCGAACACTTCGACGACAAGGTCTCGCCGGCCTTCCGCAAGCGACTGCAGGAACGGGCGGCGCAGCCCCCGGCCCGCGCCCCACCAGGTCAGCATCACTCGCACCAGGGGAGGTTGGAGTGGCTGAGGTCAGCATCACTCGCACCAGGGGAGGTTGGAGTGGCTGAGGTCAGCATCACTCGCAGCAGGGGAGGTTGGAGTGGCTGAAGTCAGCCACACTCGTAGCAGGGGAGGTTGGAGCGGCTGAGGTCAGCCATACTCGTAGCAGAGGAGGTTGGAGCGGCTGAGGTCAGCCACACTCGTAGCAGGGGAGGTTGGAGCGGCTGAGGTCAGCCACACTCGTAGCAGGGGAGGTTGGAGCGGCTGAGGTCAGCCATACTCGTAGCAGGGGAGGTTGGAGCGGCTGAGGTCAGCCACACTCGTAGCAGGGGAGGTTGCTGCTGAAGTTAACCACACTCGTAGCAGGAGAGATTGGAGTGGCTAAGTTCAGCCCTACTCGCAGCATTAGCACTATTACAGCGGTTATTAAATGCGAATTGATTTTGGTGAAATTTTAAATGAAATTTCAACGCTTCGAAATTATGTAAGAATCTATCTCCCATACTGATATGTTGATGTGATGATGATGTCGATAATGATGATGAATTAGATTATAATGATGATATCATCATCATCACATCGACGTTATACACTCATATAATATTAAGTATAAATGTAACTAGCATCTCATCTTTATATAGCAGGTGTCCTAGCTCCGTTAGCGATTAGACAAGAGATGCTGCAGCTCCGGAGACAGTCCGTACTGAACGCGAAACTGTCACTATACCTCGCCGGGCAGTACAGCAAGTTTTACAAACGGGTGAGTTTGTAAACAGAGTTATTTGTTTTTTTATACAACTAGGGTGGTAAACAAGTAGACGGCCCGTCTGATGGTTAATGGTTATCGGACGCCTAAAACACCAGGGGGGGTCCCTGGTGTTTTAGGCGTCCGATAACCATTTACCATCAGACGGGCCGTCTACTTGTTGTTCTTGTGCGTGCGCGTTGCTGACCCTTAAGGAACCTTAATACATTAATATGAGAAAATATTTCACTCATGGTAACTTTATAAATGTATCAAGGAAACTGTTAAAGGGAAATATATCACAGAATTTTTTTTTGTGTCGCATATATGACTGATATGGCCCTATAATAAAACTTATTTTCTCGACAAGCCGTGTCAGTCTTATATGTCTGACGCATCCTGTTAACGGTATGATTTTAGGGGCTTTATTTATATGCCAGTTTTGTTGTATATAAGTATTTTATTGTAATAAAAGTAATTTACAGACAGATAAAGTAAAGAAGAACAATATAAAAAAATTGTGATCAGAATTACAATAGTTTAGTAGAATATCTGCAGAAGAAGCCATTTTTTGTAGTTAGATTTTCCCGCGCAAGTGCAAAGCGCCACAAACGCACAATATGCAAGGCGCGCAGCCGCAGTAGGATCACGAACGCGTCATGGCAGTATGTGCGATGTTAGTACTATAAGTATTAACACATCCAAACAAGATATAACAAGTATTAACCTGTTGTTCAGAACACAGCGCCTTCTACCAAATCGCGTACATCAGACATATATGTCTGACATGCCTCATGTAGAACTTCTTAGCGTCAGACACATATGACTGACTTGGCGATTAATGTGTTAATATACCCTTCTAGAAATACCCCACCAGTTGTTCTAAACCCAGCGCCTCCTACCAAATCGCGTACGTCAGACATATATGTCTGACATGCCTCTTGTAGAACTTCTTAGCGTCAGACACATATGACTGACATGGCGATTAACGTGTTAATATACCCTTCTTAAAATACCCCACCAGTTGTATCAAACACAGCGCCTTCTACCAAATCGCGTACATCAGACATATATGTCTGACATGCCTCATGTAGAACTTCTTAGCGTCAGACACATATGACTGACATGGCGATTAACGTGTTAATATACCCTTCTTGAAGTACCCCACCAGTTGTTCTAAACACCGCGCCTCCTACCAAATCGCGTACGTCAGACATATATGTCTGACATGCCTCATGTAGAACTTCTTAGCGTCAGACATATATGACTGACATGGCGATTAAATTTTTAATATACCCTTCTTGAAATACCCCAATCATTCTTCGATGTATAGAAAAAACCATGTACATAAATCATATTAAAATTGTTTTCAGACAATGGATTATAAGAAACTTGCGTGGAGGCAAAGCAAGACTATCAGAACTCTATTGAACAAGCAGAGAGAACAGGACGCGGCTATAGGTCTGTACAATCATATATATATATATATATATTGTTAGGAATTACCTCTAAATTTATTTAAATAAAAGAAATTTATAACAAATCCTATAATTAATTTTAACAATATCAGTACAAGGTAGAACTTAAATTATATAAAGCAAATACGGTATGATACGGAGATTCGTTCGAGAGCACGTCTGTCGACCAAAAGAGACTGCACACAGGGTTTCGCAGCCTTTTATAGACGCGCCGCACTACGGTGGCGCCACCAGCGGAATTTACACCTAACAATATATATATATATATATATATCATTACAAAGTATAAATTAAAGTCGCTGTCGCTGTCTGTCGCTATGTATGCTTAAATCTTTAAAACTACACAACGGATTCTGAAGCGGTTTTTTTATAGATTGAGTGATTCAATGGGAAGGTTTATATAATACTAGCTTTTGCCCGCGGCTTCGGGGGTAGGGGTGGAATTTATCAAAATCCCTTAGGGGATGCCTACGTCATAGTAGGTTTAGGTACGCAAAGTCTCAGCCCGATCGGTTTAAAATTGACAAAGTGTCATCCCCTATTTTATGCCTTTGAGAGTAGAATTAATCAAAATCCTTTCTTAGCGGATGCCTACGTCATAACATCTACCATATTATGACGTATAGCATGCCAAATTTCAACCCGACCCGTCCAGTGGTTTAGGCTGTGCAGTGATGGACTCTTAACCCCATTGCTAGAAATGTCTCTCAGTACTCTCAGGTTGACCTCCACGTGGTTCCCCCTGGAAACCATCGCAATAAATGCATGGTGACCTCATGCTCATCTCATCATCCTGCACTGGTGCCCCGCCAGCGTAAACTGTTAGCGCAGGCAGGTGCACCATTCAATTATCCATGCACCATTCCATTACATTGTCGATTATATCCGTACCAAGAGTAACCTGACATTGAGGGTGACGCAGCTGGAGTCGAGCCACAACGCGAGTTTGAAGGCGTTCGTAGCCCGGGTCCCCACCAACATGCTGCCCACCTTCATGAAGGAGGACTACTGGCCGAAGGGTGTGGTGTACCGGCGCTACCGTGGCAGATTGCCGTCGTCAGTGCCGTGATCCCACAGACAATTTCAATATCTTAATTTTATATTATATCATATGTATATTAGTCTATAAGGTATTTACAATATGGGCCTAGAATCCCGAAATAAATAAATACAAATAAATAATCATCCACATGAAAAAAAAATTATATTATAAAAGCATTGTGGTCAGGTCAGTTCATCGTGACTTAGGAAGTATATCACGTAAGTTTCTAGGTGGAACCGCGTGGAGGTCAACCTGAGAGTACTGAGAGACATTTCTAGCAATGGGGTTATAAGCCCACATCACTAACACTCACCTTCTCCCCATAAACGTAATATTCAGAGCCATTGTTAAATGTTATAAACCCAATATTTAACATACTCAGAGTATATTTCAATATAACTGAGTAGGGATCGACCCAAACCGTGTTACCATCGCCGGAGAGTTAGTAACGGTGGTTTCTGTTGCAGCCGATTTAAAGCGACGCATCGAGGAGTGCGATATAAAGTACAGCGAGCTGACGCATACCAATCAGGCCGTTGGCGGGAAAGCTATTCCGGGTAAGCATCCATCTATCTTCAGAGAGACTCTATATCTCTCTATATCTTCAGAGATAGATAGAGGAGAGGAGAGGGGATTGTTAGTCAGACTGACTAACAATCTTCTCTCCCTTCTGATGATTCCTCCAGCTTCATTGCCGGGCAGCACATTTTTCAGCGGTATCTTGTCTTCTTGAACGAAGCACCAGTGTAAGGATGATAAGATGAGCATGAGGTCAGGTCAGTTAGCACATCGTTACAAATTGACGAGGAATTTACCATGATGGTTTCCAGGGGGAACAACGTGGAGGTCAACCTGTTAATAAATTACCAGTGATTGGATCGTTAGTTTCTCGCAACTGCAACCGCTCGATACAGCCGTGTGTAGATGATGACTTGAACAGCTACGAAATAGAAATCATTTTTATTCAAATAAACATAATACAAGCACTTTTGAATTTTTTGTTCTACCACTCATTCAGAACGCAGACTCATCACAAGAAGAACGAGCAAGAAATTTGTGTGTCGCTCGTTTAAATATATGTCGTTCTAAGTAGATTTCTATCAACAAGGATTAGGCATGCGACAATCAACATATAAACCGCTACGCACTCAATCTTTGTGCAATCAGATAAGTTTATGTTAAAATTTTAAGTTTTTCTACAAAAAACATTATTATCATTTATAGATGACTAGACTTTGCCCGCGGCTTCGCTCGCGTTAATTTATCCCCTTAGGCGTGTAATTTATCAAAATCCTGTCTTGGGGATGCCTACGTCATAGTACCTTTATGCATGCAAAATCTCAGCCCAATCGGTTTAAAATTGACAAAGTTTCATACAAACTTTCATCCCCTATTTTATCCTCTTGGGGGTAGAATTAATCAAAATCCTTTCTTAGCGGATGCCTACGTCATAACATCTACCTGTATGCCAAATTTCAGCCCGATCCGTCCAGTGGTTTGGGCTGTGCGTTGATAGATCACTACGTCAGTCACGTTTGAGTTATATATATTTAGATATGAACTAGCGTTCACCGCAGGTGTTAACGGTTCTATTCCCGGCAGGTGGAGGGAGCGAGGCGGTGTCCCCGCCGGGGGGCGCGGGGGTGGGAGGTGGTCTGCGACACTTCGGCAGTCAGATCAAGCTGGACCTCTCCGTGCTGCCCATCGGCACGGGGAAGAGAACCCGTGGACCCAGTCAGTATACTCGCACTACCCACGCACCACTCCAACATGCTACACTGGGCAGAAGGGAGTTGTTAGTAATGGGAACTAGTACTTTGCTAGCAATGTACCATGTTAGGTTCTCCACGCGGTTCCTGGAAACTATCGTGATAAATTCCTACTGAATTTGTCACGATGAGCTAACTGATCTGACTTCATGTTCATCTTATCATCCTCCACTGGTGCCCCGCCAGCGTAAACCGTTAGCGCAGGCGGGTGCACCATTACATTATCATCCATTAAAAAAATATGTTACACTATTACTTAAATCGCTAACCGAGATTTAACACTTAAACTACTTAACTTTATGGTAAACTACTCGCCCCGGCTTCTCAAGATGTACATGTATTATACATATATATATAATAATTATAATTTATTTAGTGTAGTATAAGCATCATAATTTGTTTAACTTGTATCAATTTTCGGTTGGGGGCCTGGTGATCTGTATTACAGGTTATGCCTATCTCAGACACCAGCTCCTCACAGCAAATCGATTAAAATAATAAATTTAAGTATTTTACTATAAAAAATACTACATGTATTGTTGCCATTATGTTTGTGAGGAGAAATAATTAAATCATATTATTATTATATTATTATTATTACATATAAGTTTAGTAGTAGATAGAGTGATTCAAAAGGAAGGCTCTTGAATCACTCTATCTACTACTAAAACTGCATTAAAATCCGTTGCGTAGTTTAAAAGAAATAAACAAACAGATAGCGGAAGTGTCTTAATTTTGTATAATGTAAAAATAATAATAATAATCTCAGGACAATTCACACAGCGCTATCTAGACCCAAGTTAAGCTAGCTAAAGATTGTGTTATGGGTACTAGACAACTGATACAAATACATAGATACATATTTCTTCGTAAATACATACATATTATACATAGAAAACACCCAGACCGATACAAACAATCATACTCATGAATACAAATGTTTGTGCCGTGCGAGGAATTGAACCCGCGACCATCGGTCGTAAAGCGGCGTGCTAGACCGCTAGACCACCGTGGTCGTCGATGTCTCAATGTTTGTTTATATGTAAAGATATAGGTCTATAAACTATTCTACGTATGCTAAGTAAATACACATTAACAAGTATTAGGCATGCGACAATCAACATAGAACCGCTACGCACACAATCTCTGTGGAAGAAGATAATATTGTCAGCATCATTACATAGTATAAAACAAAGTCGCTGTCGCTGTCTGTCCGTCCCTATGTATGCTTAAATCTTTAAAACTACGCAACGGATTTTGAAGCGGTTCTTTTACCGGTTAGTGATTCAAAGGGATTTATATAAATAACACATGTACACCAATGCGAAGTCGGGGCGAGTAGCTAGTTATGTTATATATACAACTTTTCATACACTTTACGAGCGAAATGTATTGAAACGTAAAGTTATAAAACATGCCTAAATATGTTTTTCCAGTGTTACCAAACATCAAGCCACGCAAGGCCCTAATCAAACTGCCAAGTCTCTCCGACGAGCCCCCCGCCAAGCAGATGAAGATGGACGACAGCCCATCAACCTCGCAGAGTCCCAGAAGCAAGTCACTGTCCACCATCGCCAAGATACGAGGCATCACCAACGAGATACGACACCTCACCAACCTAACCAACTTCGAGGGGAAACTAAAACGCACTTTAAGTTTAACGTCATTAGATCTAATTGAGCTTGAATGCAAGAAGCAGAAGTTAGATTAGGTTAGTAAGTTTGGATGCGGCATCGACCAACTTCGAAGCGAAACTAAAAGGCACTTTAAGTTTAACGTCGTTAGATCTAATTGAGTTTGACTCCAAGAAACAGAAGTTAGACTAAGATTGTAAGTTTTATGGATGCGGCATTGTGTGCCATCAACCTCGCAGAGTCCCAGAAGCAAGTCACTGTCCACCATCGCCAAGATACGAGGCATCACCAACCTGACCAACTTCGTGGGGAAACTAAAATGCACTTTAAGTTTAACGTCGTTAGATCTATTTGAGCTTGAATGAAAGAAACAGAAATTGTATTAGGCTAGTAAGTTTGAATGCGGCTCGCGTGATTGGGAATCGTACTATCATTATCATCATCTCAGCCCGGCAGACGTCCACTGCTGGACATAGGCCTCCCCAAAGATCTCCACGACGATCGGTCCTGATCCGGCGCTGCTCGCATCCAATGCCTTCCAGCGATCTTGACCAGATCGTCGGTCCACCTTGCTGGAGGCCTTCTCACGCTTCTGAATATTTCCTTCTTAAGATTGTAAATTAACAAAATTTAGTATATATGTTAGCCAACTCCGAATTCAGAACAAACTAGTTTTTCCTATAGTCCTATAGTGTGTCTCGGAGACAAATGTGTCATTTACGATGTTGCCAGGGTTTTTAAATAGGGTTGTGGCAAATTACTAATTTCCGATAGTGCCACAACCCTATTTGAAAAAAAAGCAAAACCTAACAATATTGGAAATGTCACGTTTGTCTCCGAGATTAAAAAAACACACTATAGGACAAACTAGTTTGTTCTGAACTCGGAGTTGGCTAACATTATATACTAAATTTCCGGAATTAAAAAACACACTATAGGACAAACTAGTTTGTTCTGAACTCGGAGTTGGCTAACATTATATACTAAATTTTGTTAATTTAGAATCTTAAGAAGGAAATATTGTGAACAAAACTGTACTTTGTGAACTTTCCAATAAGGTTCATAATCTGTTTTGTATCCGTCGTGAAATTAAGAACGCCTTCTGGTTGTTTTGATGGAAGATAGTACTGTGTTTATGAGTAATTTACAATTATACAAATACAAAACATAATAAGCGTGTAAAGGCATTACAGAACGCCAGCTCTGATTTAGTTTTTTTTTTGACAATTGATTTTTTGTTTTTTTTTTTTATAGTTTAAGAATTTTCCATAAAAAAGTTATGGGAAGACTTGGTCTCATATTGTTCATTATAAAGTTCTTATAAGTTTAATGAAATACATTCGTGTGAAGTCGGGATCTGGAGCTTGTTTGTAATATTACAGCCAAGTAACTCCAATGTTACTATATAAAAATTCAACATAAAAAAAATGAACTATTGCAAATTTGTTTAAAATTGACAGTTATTTAATAACTAATACTGTTAAACGAATATAGCGTGTATTATGATATATATATATGTCCCCTCTGAACAATCCCTCGTCTAATTCCAAAGGGGATCGAAATTACAACGGCTTGAGTCGAAGAACCCCTAGCGGTGCCCTCAGACTCGTCGTACCCGTCAACCGGGAGTTGATCTTCAGCCGCTCCATAAGTCCTTCCTTTGGTTTGGAGTGTCATCTGCACTCGGCCCCCATCGTCCAGTAAAGCTGTAAAGGCCAGCTGCGGCCAACAGCATTAGAGTAGTTGAAAAATGATGTACTTCACGACCGTTGTACCAAATGGGATAGTTAGAGGTATTGTTAACTGTTGAACATAACACTTGAAAGCAATAAATCCATTCACAGTTGTCTCTCGCGGCAATTTGGTTTGGTAGCTATCGGTATGTTTATCTGAGAGTCAGAATTGACAAAGTCTAGAATTCAGTTCTGACTAACACTAAAAGTGTTGGTCAAAATTGAATTCTTGACTTTTCGATCTCAGTCCGGGTATCAAACTACTACGTTGTATCGCGACGTTGTCATTTATATAAGTTACTAGCTTTTACCCGCGGCTTAGCTCGCATTGAATACATTAAATAAGTATCTGAGTATCAGTATCCTATGTTAAATAGTTCCAAGAACAAGTGTACAAAATTTCATCATGATCGGTTAAGTAGTTTTTGCGTGAAAGCGTAACAAACATTTCTACTTTCAAATTTATAATATTAGTAAGCATTGACGTAAAATAACATGATTTATCTGAGGATCAAAAAATTTAAATCGACACAGTTTTTTTAGTGTTTGTCAGAATTGAATTCTTTACTTGTCGGTTTAATTCTGGGTAACAAATCACTATGCCACGACGCTCATTGTCATTTATATAGGTTATAAACATAACATGTTTTATCTGAGAATCAGAAATATGAATGGACTCAGTTTTTTAGTGTTGGTCAAAATTGAATTCTGGACTTTTCGGTCTCAGTCCGGGTAGCAAACCACTAAGTTGATACGCGACGTTGTCATTTGTATAGGTTATATTAATCTGATATATTAAACAAACCAATGTCAATACGTTAGTGTATTTTTTTATATATCTTTAATTTGTAGTTATAGTTAACAGTTTTGGGAAGTTATTAAAACCAAAACTACATTTAATTAGGTATTAACTCAGGTTGTAATAAGGTTTTGACTGTGTTTTCTTCAGTCGAAATGATTTTTGATCGTTAATTAAATTGAACTGTGGTATGACTTTATATTAAGTTATATAATTTTTTATACATCATAATCACCAATGTATGTATGAGTAGAATCAGAGATATAAAACCTTTTTTATTTCATACTAGCTGTAGCCGCATAATATTTATAGTCTATATGTTATTCTGATGTTATAAGCTATATTACTGTAAAGTTAAATTAAAATCTGTTTAGTAGTTTTTGCGTGAAAGAGTAACAAACATGCATCTATACTCACAAACTTTCGTTTTAATAATAATAAGATATCAGTGTTTTTAAACTCTTTGTCGCGTAATTTTTATAAGAAAAATACATTATAATAAAGGAAACTAGATTTCTATTACATTACGATGGTGGCAAACAAGCATACGGCCCGTCAGATGGTTACCGTTACTATCTTTACAATAATTGATTTAGGTCGTTTCAGCCTGGAGCTTTAAAAGATCATCTTCACTTTAGAATTTTTTTATAAGCTTTATAAATAAAGTTCAAAAGTCCAGGTGACTTCTTAAGTGACTTCCGGGTCGCGCAATTAATAAGTTTGCAAAACACTGCCTCTCTACTCTCCCTTCATCTGTATCCAGACTTAAAGCACAATTATATAAGTTGATATAATTGTTGCAAATTATATAAGCTGACCCTGCAAACGTTGTTTTGCTATATAAACTAAAATCGCTATTAAAAAATAGGGGTTGGTGATAGAAGGGTAAAAATTTAGGATTGTATGTATTTTTAAATGCCACATTATAAATAATTTAAAAAAAAGTAGATTTTTTTTTGCGGTATAGACACCCTTAATACTTAGAGGTAAAAAAAATTGTTATAAACCTATTTTCAAACCTACAGAAGAGAACAGAATATATATATAAAATTTCATCAAAATTAATTTGATATAAACCTATTTTGAAATCTACTGAATATATAATTATATAAAATTTCATCAAAATTTGTCAAGCCGTTTCGGAAAATACGAATCCTATGACACGAGAATTTTATATATTAGTTTTAAAGGGATTTAACGATAATACTTTTTTTTTGTGATCTCCCGATATTTCGATACTATTACAACGTGTGGTGTGATGATCAAGATGTTGATAAAAAAATTTGTGATGTACATAAGAATTATTTAAATTTGAAATTTAAATAAAATGTGTTTGATTTTTATATACTAACTAGCAGATCTGGCAACGCGTTGCTGTGGCTAAGGTTCTTGAATAAAATAATATTGCGAGTATAAATTGAGATGTAAGCTATCCTATCTTTCAAGTTGGATCAAATTGCACACAATGTGCAAATCAAATTTGCAATCGGTTCAGTAGTTTAGGAGTCCATCGCGGACAAACAACTTGATACGAAATTTTTATATATAAAGATATTTATATTACACATAGATACATATATAATTAGTTATATAATCCGCCTACTTGAAGCTCTATATATTATTTGGCTATATGAACACCAATATAAACAATGGTGTGATTCACTGTATTGTACAACCCCTTAAGGTTATTCACATAAGAAATCCAATGTAACTGTTAAACATTTGATATTATATTTATCGTACGATTTTATCGTTATCGTACATGATTTAACTAATGGATTTCAAATTGTTCTTGGTCTTGTAATGATTTGATTATCATGATATTTTGCATCTTGCAAAATTTTATGGAGATGATTTTAAGTTTTTATCGATAGTAGCAGTTAAGCCGTGACCACTGCTGGAATTGTGGACGCCTACTGTAATATAGCATCATACTTCGACGATAGTTTCAATATCGTACGATAATGTATATACGATAATATCAGAATATCCAACGGTAATTGATAAAAACAATATATTGTTTAACGTTTAATACAGTTTGTGCAATGTAGCATAATAATTCGACGATAATCTCAATATCGTACGATAATGTAAAAATATACGATAATATCAGAATATCCAACGGTAATTGATAAAAACTATATATTGTTTAACGTTTAATACAGTTTGTTATATTTGTCACATAAACTAACAGATTTTTATTAGTGGATTGTTTTATTTTTAATAGTCATTTGCTGACTTACTGTTTTAGTCTCAACTTTATATAAATGGGATACTTGCTATGATAATATTAAATAAATATATTTTTTCTGATGATTCCTCAAGGCTGACGGTCGTGACCATTAGGTATGCATCTTTCGACCAATATTCTCCAGTAGAGAGACAGATTACAAATATTATTGAGAATGGGCGGGGAAATGTTGAAGCACTTGATACGACATGACGAACTTATGAATAATATTAAAGAAAGAAAGGGGAAGGGGAAGATCAAGACACAGCTATATCAAGCAGAATAAGAAAAAGAATAGAATAGAAAATCATTTATTCAAATAAACTTAATTTAAGCACTTTTGAATAGTCAACATTTTAGCTTATTCGGAAAGCTGTCTCATCAAAACTTAGATTCATAGCAAGAAACTTGTGTGATGCTCTTTTAAAGAATCCTTGTAAGTTCACTTTTTTCAAGTCGAAACGTGTGAATACAAACTACCAACCAGCACTAATTTATTTAGGCTCAAATATAAAAACACAATAAGATTAAATCAGTCGTAGTGATAAGAGCAGACCAGTCCCTACAAGCAGCACTCGTTCACGAGTATGACGGATGAGCCAGCCATCACTGTGCTC